AAAATTCGGTGCTGCGAGTAGACGCGTGTGGTTGGGTGACACTCGTGTTTGCCTGCCAGCCTTCCAGTCAGGCAGCCTATAACCGAAGCGCACAAACCTCCCACAAACCAGCACGCGCAACGCGTTCTGCGTGAAGTTCCCCAGGGTCAAGCTTCTTAACGCGCCGGACCTGAAATCGTCGGTCGAATCATACGCGAGTTTGCTGCCTAAACTCAGCGCCCCGCTCTGTTCCAAACCTCAATAGGTCTGCCCAGCGTCGCTTACAGACTAGGTAAAGAGGTTCGTCGTGACAGGCGCTGACGACCTGAGGGGCCAAACTCTGCGGGTCTGGCTCCGAGCCGAAATATAAACTGTGCTGATAACCTCCGTAATATCGTCTACCGTACTCAAAACACTACAAACCGTATGACACCGAGTGAAACAGTGGCACTCGACCCTGCTTCGGAAATAATGGTGTCTGTGGCCTGGGCGAGAAAAAAGGGCTCCTGCTAAGATCCTGTCCGTAGTTTTGACACCAGGTGGTTATGCGTGTCAATCCAAAGCGCTAGTGATTATGCGTGTCAGTCTCTGTAGCTGAAGTGTCAACTCGAAACGCACGTAGGTTTGTCAACGACGCAGCTGATTCGTTGGGTCCTCCTAGTGTATTCAGCTGATTTGTGTACGTCGAAGCCAGCGAAGTTCTCACCTAGCTGTAGGTTTCACCTAAGGAACGGTGTGTCTTGATTGGGCGCTAGGGGTGATGGGGTTTGTTTTTTGCGACGATTTTGGCTGGCTTGTAGGTCTTGACTCCGTCAAAGTCTGAAGGAGTCCGGCTAATTTTACTGGCTACCATTCTGCGAAATTTTGACACCATGTCAACAATGTTGGTAGTGTCAAAATTACCAAATGACACTAGTGTCAAAAATACGAACAGGCCCTAAGTATGGATAGCACCAAACCATGGCGGCGGAGAGAAGACTCCTAGCTTGCTTGTCTCCAGCTTCCTTTAAATACCCGTTTAGGTGCGATGTTGCTTTTCGCGATAGCACAACACCAACAGCAACGAGGCCCGTGATTACAACAGTAACTCATTCGCGTCTGATTATTCCTCGTGAGAGCGCCAACGTTCTTTCGGGGCTTCACAGCTTGTGAATCCTTCAATCCTTTTAATCGTTGAAGCCGTTCTTATCGTTTCCGAGCCGTTCAGGTCGTTCACCACTCGAGGAGGCGAGCTACCATTTCCTTCAGAAGTCGCTTCAAGCCGTCGTCTCCGAGCTAACTTGAAGATAACTTGGCGCTTCGACGAAGTTCAGCTAGTACTAATCGGGGCGACTTTCGTGCCGCCATGAAACCGACTATGACGAGACGGCTTGCGGCGGGTTACCTGATCGTCGCAATCCTCGCAAGCCTCGTTCTGCAAGGACTGGTCAGTCGTGAAAGATCGATTGCGGAGTCGACTCATATCAGTCAAGCCGCAGAGCTGCTGCACTCTTAAGGCCGCGCGGCTCGCGTTTCCCATCCCCCACCCTCCCTCCCGCTTCCCGCTCCTCCTTTCCCTCCCCGTTCTTGTCTCTCTTCTTCCCCCTCCCCATTCGTGTCCCTCCCTCCTTTACCGAGTAAGACTTCAGCGGTTCGAGCGCTAGGGAAGGTGGCGTTGTGAGCGTGTCTTTACCGTTAGCGACAATCATCTACCTGCTCCAAGTCACCCCAGCGGTTCGAGCGCTCCCTCAGCGGTTCGCGCTCCAGGGAAGGCGGCGTTATGGGTGACCATTTCCCAAATTCAAAATCCAGCGGTCCGAGCTGGGAAGGTCGAAATCACCCCATCAGTTCGCGCGTGGAGGGGGAGGTGACGTTGGGGGTGGGTCCCTGCCGTGCGCGACCATCAACCCCCCACCCGCGCTCTCTCTCCGCTTTCTCCCCCGCGGCCGCACTGCGCGCTGCAGGAAGGGAGCTCCAATAGACTCCAGCGGTTCGCGCGCCGGGGGAGCCTCTGGAGATATCGTTGGGGGCGGGCCTCTGCCGTGCGCGACACTCCCCCCGCACCGCGCTTTCCCCTCCGCTTTCCCCCTCCCCCATACCGCACGCTGCGCGGAGAGGGGTACTGTCCACCCCAACGGTTGTAGCGCCGGGGAGCCTGACGGCGGGGGCATGCCCCTGCTGCCCGCGCTCCTTTTCCCCCTCCCCCACTCCGCACGCTGCGCGGAGGGGGGTTACTTTCGACCGCAACGGTAGTCGCGCCGGGGAGGCTGACGGTGGGCGTGTGTCTCTGCGTGCGCGGCTTCCGAGACGACAATAAACACGTGCTGCTGTCGTGATTTTTTAGGCGCCTCAAAAATCGGCTATCGAGTCGACTTACAACACGTGCTGCTGTCGTGCACGGTGACAGTCCGGGGAGAGTGCTGCCTTCGTACCACATTCCCACTCCCTGCTTCGTATCTCAACCCTCCCTCTCCCTCTGTTCCCCTCCCAGGCAGCTCCAGGAGATCCCAGGGGTGCGGACATACAAGGTGACTGTGGGGGGCGTGCTGCTGCTGACAGCCTCACCCCTCTGTCCCCTCACACCTTGGCAGGCTGCACGGAGGGTCCTTCAGGAGATCCCAAGGGTGCGAACGTACAAGGTGATGGTAGGGGGAGTGCTGCTTGCTCTCGCGACTCAAATCCCCCACCTCTTTTCCCCTCTGCCCCATATCACACCAGGCTGCACGAAGGGATCTGCAAGAAATCCCGGGAGTGCGAACGTACAAGGTGACGGTGGGGGGAGTGCTGCCATACCACATCCGCCCGTGGCACCGCGGTGTGCAGTGGGACTGGACGCCCCCCAAGCTATACCCTCAATATGTTCTGCGTAAGTGTACAAGTTGGGTTGGTTAACAGAGTGAGTGTATGGAGTACGCTGAAAACGCGTACAGGGAGTGCTGCCGTACCATGTCCGCCCATGGCACCGCGGTGTGCGGTGGGACTGGACGCCGGCCAAGCTGTACCCTCATTACGTCTTGCGTAAGTGTGCAAGTTGACTTATGGCGAATTGCATGTGTGGAGTGTACTTAAAACGCTGACAGGGGAGTCAGGTCACTCGCCCGTGGCATCACAGGGTGCAGTGGGACGGGACGGGCTCCACCCAAGCTGTACCCATTACGTGCTCTGTGAGCCCTCTGACTCACGATGTGCGCCTCTTTGAATGCAAAGCCAAATGGAGAAGCTGTGATTGCTCCGGCTCAAGACTCCAACCTTCCCTCAACCGCCGCAATCCCCCATCCCTACCTCCCCCCCCCCCCACACCCATTTCTTCCTCCCCTACAATGTTCCGTTGGGTGAGCCCTCTCACTCACGACTTGCGCCTCTTTTGAGTCCGAAGGCAACTTTAAGACCTGCGATTTCTCCGGCTCAAAACTCATCTCCCTTCCCTCCCCCTCCCTCCTCTGCAGTTTTCCGTTGGGTGAGCCCTATCACTCACGACGTGCGTCTCTTTGAATCCGAAGCCAAGTATAAAGCCTGCGATTTCTCCGGCTCAAAACTCATCTTCCCTTACTCGCCAGTCGGATGGATGCTGTATTGGATCAAACCAGACATGGTCGGAACATCAATCTACTTCGGGAGCAGCTTTATCGGCGATTGCAAGGCAGGATTGAAGGTTAAGTTTACTGTCTATCCGTATGGTAAATCCAAGAAGGGTCTAGACAGAAAGAACGCTAACATGACTAGCAACAGCACCCCTACTGCTGTGGGAGCAGGGGCGTGAAAGTAAGGTCCCCATGCCATGGGAGTTGTGAAGGGAGTGTGATGGGACTGGTTAATGGTAGGGGTTTTTTTCTGCTGTGGGACTGGTGCAGAATAAGCAGAGTATGTGGAGGAGTGACGGGAGTGATGGGAGTGATGGGAGTGATGGGAGTGGGGGGAGTGGGGGGAGTGGGGGGAGTGATGGGACTGGTGCTAAGGGGAGAGGTTTCTTTCTGCTGTGGCACTGGTGCAGATTGAGCTGAGTGTGTGGAGTAGGAAAGGCTATTCTGTCAGGCATTACATGGTGCCTATGATGCATGATGTAGAGTGTCCATATGGCGTATATAAGCCATTTGCCTAATACGTACCGTACATGTATGTGCTATGATCAGCATCGGTATTTATTTATCCTCTGTGCAGGAAACTGGACATGACAAGCAAGAGGGGACCTGATTAGGAATAACATGCTTCAGGCAAAGCAATACAAAAGCAAGGGACGGAGCAAGAGAATCTGTAGCTGCACCGCAGCCCTAGCAGGGGCAACTGACATCACACTCCAAATGCATCCTAATTTCTATACTTGCCATTCTTATGCAGCCACCACCACAATGCCACCAAGAACCGTACCATACCTCTTGCCTGCCCGTGAGTCATCAATATGTAGCCCCAACACCAGCAGTTGTAGCACCAGTGGCTTAACACACCCTAAACAAACGCACTAGTTTCTATATCTGTTCACTCTATGTAGCCACTCCACACGCCACCACGGAATGTACCCCTTGCCTGCCCATGCCTCTTCAATTTGTAGTCGGATCAGCAGCTGTAGCACGGGTAACTTGACTTCATACACTTAAAAAGGACCACTAGGTTTTATATTTGCCCACTCTATGCAGCCAACCCACACGCCACCACGGAATGTACCCCTTGCCTGCCCGCACCTTGTCAATCTGTAACCCCACCAGCAGCAGCTGTAGCATGGGTAACTTGGACTCGTACACCCAAGAACCGCATTATGGCTTATACTTGCCCACTCTGTGCAGCCAACCAACACACCACCAAAGAATGTACCCTTTGCCTGACTGCGCCTCGTCAATCTGTAGCCGCATAAGCAGCAGTTGTAGCATGGGTAACTTGGCTTCATACACTCCAAAAGCGCATTATGTCTTATACTTTCCCGCTCCATGCAGCCAACCCACACGCCACCAAAGAATGTACCCTTTGCCTGGCTGCGCCTCTTCAATCTGTAGCCGCATAACCAGCAGTTGTAGCACGGGTAACTTGGCTTCATACACTCCACAACCGCATCATGTCTTATACTTGCCCACTCTGTGCAGCCACCCCACACGCCACCACGGAATGTACCCCTTGGCTGCCCGCGCCTCGTCAATCTGTAGCCGCACCAGCAGCTGTAGCACGGGCAGCGTGTTGTTAAATTTCTCCCCTTGCTCGTGCAAAAGGCACGGGAAACCCCCCGTGTGTCTGTTGCGCAGCCCCAGGTGCAGCGCGGATGGCCACGCGGGGAGGGGCGAACGGGGAAGAATCGGGGGAAAGGGCTGCGCTTGCCTGCTGCCGCCGCCGCTGGTACTGGCAAGGCCGTTCCTCTCCTCCCCTTCTTGCTGCTGCAGCCGTTGAATATCCCTCAAGTCAACGACCTCGTAATCCTCATCGTTGGTCCCTAGAAGGTTCTGAACCAAGCCGTTCATGTGATCTAGAACGATCACGGGCCGCGCCGCGAGTCGCGCCTCCATAGTCTTCACCACGCGCCGCCACTTCCAGATTTTATCTTCGAACCGCCATTCGCGCCGCAGACGCCGCCGCAAACTGATCTGCTGCTCGTACTCCCATTTGGATATGAACGGCAGCAGCTGCGTTTGGTTTAGGAACAACCGAGTGTACTCCCGCTGATCGTCAAACCAATTAACGGGGTTCGCTAAAGCGGCTTTAAGCGCCACAGTGACCGCCCATGCGTATCCTACATACGTCCCTGCGTTGAGGTACTTAAACTGCGTGTTTACCGCCGCCGCTTCCGGCGGGAGCGGCGGGTACTTATCCTCGACTCTATCCGGGAAACAGTACGGCTCTGCCCCGAAAACGATCGGCGCGTTGAAACTCAGAAACGCCGAGATGATACGGTCCGCGGTACAGGACGGCACGGGCGTTACATCCAGCGCGTCTGTCGCGATGACGATGCGGTCGGGCGGCAAGCTTTGGACGTACTCGAGCACGGCTACCAGACGGGGACGGAATCCGTTCCACGGTTGATGCAACCCGACAACTGCGAGCGGCAGGTCAATCATGCTGGTGACGTCAGCGAGGCGATTAAGTCCCACGGCGGAAAAGGTGGAGTACGTAACCCACTCCGACTTGCAGTTCTTCCCGCGCTCGCGCCGTGGAATTCCCGAAGCGCGCGTCCACGTGGGCGGGTATGTGGACGGATTCTGGTCGTCAAAGTCAACGCCGCTGGGGTCATTTGCCTCGTAATCCACTGGCGACCTTTTCGCGCGTCTCCGGGATTGTAGGAGCTTTCTTCCACGCGGAGCCGACTCGTCACCGTTAATTCCGTCATCCCCGCCGATGTTTCCGCCACCGTCGCTACCACCGCTGCTGTCGGTGAACCACTCCCACGCTTCTTCGCATCCGTCGCGTGGCGGCTCGTGCTCTTCAATCTCCTCGTCGACAGCTGCCGTGTCGCTGCTTTTCGAAGGCTGATTTGCCGCCCTTGCCGCCGCAAGTCCCGCTTCCGTCCTTTTTGCAGCTGCCTCCGCGGAAGCCGAGGGGTCTATCGGGCAGAAGAAATATTTCGATCGGGAGATGTACAGGATTGCGGTGTTGTTACACGGCGCCTTTTCGATTTCGTCGTAAAACTCTTTGATTTGCTCTTGCACCTCGTAGTACTCACGTGTGCCGAACATGCACAGCAGGGCCAGTGTGACTATAGTGAAGGCGATTTTGAGAATGGGGTAAGCGTAACCAGAAGAATCCACTGCCATTTTCCGGAGCCTTGACGATGGGCTGAGAAGCTGGAGGGACTTATCCGCTGGGGTCATTGTACAAATTCTGTGGCTTGCAATATTGGATTGAATCCCACTATGCCTGAAAGGAAACCAGAAGAGCTCGAAGAGCCAAGTTCAAGGACACGTCACTTCTGGGGCATTTTCTATCTCGAGAAGGTGATATCTGCTCCCTCTTACTGTGTGCTTCTTGCAATGCTCAGGCTGTTGTGCAAGAAATATGAGTGAGCTGGAAGGAATGGAGTCGAGTTGAGAGTCTGAACTGAACTGAAGACTCCAATTGACGGGTATTTTATAGTATTGGCTGGAGGAGGCCGGCGATTTGTCCAATTTCCGTAAAGCCATTTCTGCGGAGAACCGACGGATCATCGATCGATCTTGGAGGAATTCGTCGATGGACCGTCGATTGACACTCGAGTGGAGCAGATGAGTCATACGACCTGCGAAACTCCATTTCGCACTCAGCAAAGTCTGCCAATTTGCTGAGCTGCCTTGTCGAGGCGTGCGGTTACTCAGCAACATCGCGTAGAGCGATGCGACTCGTGTCGTTGCGCAGACTGTTAACAGCACATAGTAGTACACGTGTATTCTGCAGAGTGGACATCGCTGTGGAGGGCGCGTGGCTGCATTCGTTACAAGGTTTGCAGCACATTCTGGACTTCGAGCGTGTGTCTCGGCCACCACATCCCTGGAATTCCGCAACCGCAGAAGAAAATTCTACAACTTCCGCGATAAATGCGATGTCGGTTGCACTGTCAAAAGACTGCGAAACAGTGAATCCGAACATATTCCATACCCATTAGATATACTAAAAATAGATACTCATTTCCCAGAGCCATCGCACAAATCACATGTAATGGCCCCAGTACCGTTGCAATAGAGGCAACAAGCACCTTCCTCCACCCAATCGAGAAACTGCACGGAATACGAGGAAGGGGAGAAAAGTAAAGGAAGTACAACTAAACATTGGCCAATTGATGCTTAAAGAGGTCACACGCCCCCATATGACGAGATAAGCTCTTCCAGGCCGGAATTTACACAAGAGGGCAGAAATCAAAAGCAAATAAACGTATGAAAAAAAAAGTTGGGAGTGCTTCACATAAGTAGACGCCCCTGGTTCCCCGACGCTCTCCTAAACCATCGGAGGGATGTGGGTTTACCGTACCTGTTTCCTCGATGTTAAGGTCCCTCGTGCCCTGACACTCTGCAATGGGAAGGATTTTGAGTCGACTGTTCGATTGACTCACAAATCGCTTACCTGTTGACTTTTGAGTCGACTCAAAAGTCACCTCTGTTCTATCGACTCACAAATCACTTACCTGTTCTTCGATGTTGAGATCCCCCGTGCCCTCACACTCTGCAAAGGGGCGTGACAAGGGGGGAGGTTGGGGGGGAAAAGGGGGGCGTGGGGTGAAGGAGAGGCGGGATGTGGTGTTACCTGTTCCTCGATGTTAAAATCCCCAGTGCCCTCACACTCTGCAATGGGAAGCGACCAGGGAGCGCAAGGGAGGAGAAGGTGGCAAGGAGGGAAGGAAGGTGGGTGAGAATCATTGATGTGGGTGGGGTCACCTGTTCCCCCATGTTAAGGTCCCCCCAGTGCCCTCACACTCTGCACAGGGAAGCAACAAGGGAGTGCAAGGTATAAATACAGGGGCGAGAGATCAAGGAAAGGCAAGAGGGATTTGGCAAGGGGGAGTGATGTAAGCTGTTCCTCTAATGTTAAGACCCCCAATGCCCTCACACTCTGCCAAGGAGAAAACGAGGGGGGAAGGTTGGGGGGAAAAAGGGGGAGTGGGGTTAAGGAGAGGAGGGATGTGGGTATACCTGTTCCTTGATGTTAAGATCCCCAGTGCTTTCACATTCTGCCAAGGAAAATGACAAGTTCAGGGAAAGGAGTTAAGGTTGAGGGATTTGAGACGTCTCGATAGTCTGTCAAGGTCCCCACCCAGTGCCCTCACACTCTGCAAACGGAAAAGGAAAAGGGAGTGCACGGTATAAGAAGAGGATAGAAGGGGCAAGGGGGAGTGGGCAAGGGGGAGTGGGCAAGGGGGGGTTGGCAAGTACGCAATCAAGAAACAGTTCACTCTCCCCCTTGCCCCTTATCAATCAAGGACGTATATAGAATGTTCTTGTATGAACATCCAGGACTCTCCTAAAGCATCCACACTACACACACACCAAACGCACCCATGCAAACAATGTTACCCTCCCCTCTGCACTGGTAGCACGAGACAACAACAGGCTTCAACTCCCCCTCCCCTCAAGTACCCACACGCACATACATGCCTCAAACAACACACACAAGCACGAAACACACATATCAACCCACACACACCAACGCACCCATGCAAAAAACGTTACCTTCCCCTCTGCACTGGTAGCACGAGATAGCAGCAGGCTTCAACCCCCCCTCCCCTCCCCTCAAGCACCCACACACACACGCACATACATGCCTCAAACTACACATGCACGCATGAGACACACATAAGCCTCAAACAGGGGAGTGAAAAGGGAGTGCAACGTTCAACCCCCCCTCCCCTCCCCTCAAGCACCCACACACATAAACTGCAAACAACACATGCTCGCATGAGACACACATAAGCCTCAAACAGGGGAGTGAAAAGGGAGTGCAACGTTCAACCCCCCCTCCCCTCCCCTCAAGCACCCACACACATAAACTGCAAACAACACATGCTCGCATGACACACACACATGTCAACCCAAGCTCATCAACTCACCCTTGCAAACAACGCTGCCTTCCCCTCTGCCTTCCCCCAAGCACGAGACAACAACAGGCTTCAACCAATTCTGAGCCCAAGAGCATATGCCTCTAACACCCACACACAAGTGACACAGACACACACGCGCGTGCACATACATCAGCCCACACACACCGACGTGGTGACTTTTGAGTCGACTCAAAAGCCACCGCGCGTGCACATACATCAACCCACACACACCGACGTACCCATGCAAACCACGTTGCCTTCCCCTCTGCACTGATAGCACGAGACAACAACAGGCTTCAACCCCCCTTCTCCACCCTTCTTCCCCTTCTTCCCCTTCCCCTTCCCCTTAACATCCACCAAATCCCTCCCTCCTCTCCCCTTCCCCTTCCCCTCCACGTCCCCCTTCTCCTCCTCCCCCTCCTCCCCGCCCTCCTCCTTCCCCTCCTCCTCCTCCCTGCCTCGACCAATCAATGTGTTCGGGTCCTCCCAGCGATTCTCCCCTAGCAGAAACACCCGCCTCTGCCCCATCTCTAGATCACTCCTAGCGTATCTCTCTATCTCTCGCTTCTCCCGGGTGGCAGGAGGGGCGCGGGGGGACGCTGACTCTGCGGAGGGTGCTGAGGAGGAGGGCTTGGTTGAAGGCTTTGTGGGAAGTTCGGGAGCAGGTTCGGGGGTCGGTTTGGTCGCTGGTTCGGCGACTGATTCGGGATAGCCAACGAGGAGAGCGAAGAGAGCCGGTGTGACAATTCCGTCTTCTTGAAGCTTCATAGTTGCCTAAAGGGAGACAGTAGCAGTATGGGGAGAGGAAGGGAGACGAGGTGGGAAGGGGGAAAGGGGGAAAGGTGTAAGAGAGAGAGAAAAGGCCTGGTGTGTTGATACCATCTTCTTGAAGCTGCATGGTTACCTGAAGGGAGACAGCAGCAGTATGGGGGAGAGGAAGGGAGAGGGGGAGAGGCTATGCCTTCATGGAGAGTATAGAGGCCTGGTGTGCTGATACCATCTCCCTGAAGCTGCATGGTTCTTGAAAATTCTCAGAAAGGAGGAGAGGGAAGAAGAAAGGAGGAGGGGGAACTTCTGAGTCGAATCATATGGAGAGACAAGAGGCCGGGTGTGACAATTCCGCCTTCTTGAAGCAGCATGGTTGTCTGAAGGGAGACAGTAGTAGAATGGGGAGTGAAAGTGCAGAAGGATAGGGGGATAAGGGGTAGAAGGGCTGTGGTGTGACGATGCCATCTTGCTGAAGCTGACTTTTGAGTCGACTCAAAAGTCATGGGGAGTGAAAGTGGAGAAGGGGATAACGGGATAAGGGGATAAGGGGTAGGAGGGCTGTGGTGTGACGATGCCATCTTGCTGAAGCTGCCTGGCTGCCTGGAGATGGGAGCCGTATGGGGGAGAGGAGGAGAAGAGGGGGAAGAGGGGAAGTAGATTGGGGAGAGGGGAGGCTAGGCTTTCATGAAGAGAGAGAAGAGGTCCGGTAAGACAATGCCATCTTGCTGAAGCTGCATGGCTGCCAGGAGATGGGAGCAGCGCATGGGGGGGAAGGTGGGGGAGAGATATTGTTGGGGGGGGAGGAAAAGGGAAGGAGGTGGTGTGATAATGCCGTCTTAGCTCAGTGGGAGTGAAGGAAGGAGAGTGGGCCAGAATGTGCGTTGAGTCGACTCAAAGGTTACCTTTAGGAGCGAGTAATGGAAGGAGGAGAGTCGCAGCGGGGAGTTGCCCGTGCGGTTCATGAAGGCTTACTCTTCTTGATGAGCCTGAACCTCACAGGGTGCCATCAAAGCTCACCCACCCCATCAAGACCCGTGAGTTTCATCAAGACGGAACCCAGGCGAGCCTTACGAGTGGGAGTGACGGAAGGAGCGAGGCAGAAAGTGCTTTGAGTCGACTCAAAGGTTACCTTTAGGAGCGAGTAATGGAAGGAGGAGAGTCGCAGCGGGGAGTTGCCCGTGCGGTCCATCAAGACAGAACTCACGCGAGCCTTGTGTAAAAGGAAGAGATGGAGTGAAGGAGTGAAGGAAGGAGTGAGGCAGAAAAGAGGGAAACGCGGTGGCAGTCAAGAGTTCTAAGGCACCTCACAGGTTGAGTGAAGGAGGGAGTGAAAAAGGGAGTGAAGGAGGGAGTGAAGGAGGGAGTGAAGGAGGGAGTGAAGGAGGGAGTGAAGGAGGGAGTGAAGGAGGGAGTGAAGGAGGGAGTGAAGGAGGGAGTGAAGGAGGGAGTGAAGGAGGGAGTGAAGGAGGGAGTGAAGGAGGGAGTGAAGAAGGGAGTGAAGGAGGGAGTGAAGGAGGGAGTGAAGGAGGGAGTGAAGGAGGGAGTGAAGGAGGGAGTGAAGGAGGGAGTGAAGGAGGGAGTGAAGGAGGGAGTGAAGGAGGGAGTGAAGGAGGGAGTGAAGGAGGGAGTGAAGGAGGGAGTGAAGGAGGGAGTGAAGGAGGGAGTGAAGGAGGGAGTGAAGGAGGGAGTGAAGGAGGGAGTGAAGGAGGGAGTGAAGGAGGGAGTGAAGGAGGGAGTGAAGGAGGGAGTGAAGGAGGGAGTGAAGGAGGGAGTGAAGGAGGGAGTGAAGGAGGGAGTGAAGGAGGGAGTGAAGGAGGGAGTGAAGGAGGGAGTGAAGGAGGGAGTGAAGGAGGGAGTGAAGGAGGGAGTGAAGGAGGGAGTGAAGGAGGGAGTGAAGGAGGGAGTGAAGGAGGGAGTGAAGGAGGGAGTGAAGGAGGGAGTGAAGGAGGGAGTGAAGGAGGGAGTGAAGGAGGGAGTGAAGGAGGGAGTGAAGGAGGGAGTGAAGGAGGGAGTGAAGGAGGGAGTGAAGGAGGGAGTGAAGGAGGGAGTGAAGGAGGGAGTGAAGGAGGGAGTGAAGGAGGGAGTGAAGGAGGGAGTGAAGGAGGGAGTGAAGGAGGGAGTGAGCCAGAGTCGAGGGAAAGGCGGTAGCACCCAAGACCAGAAGCAGGCAAGGAGGAAACACAAAAAGGTGTGGCAATCCCTTTCTTACCTGCCGTGGCACTCCCTTACCTGCTGTGGCACTCCCTTACCTGCTGTGGCACTCCCTTACCTGCTGTGGCACTCCCTTACCTGCCGTGGCACTCCCTTACCTGCCATGGCACTCCCTTAGCTGCTGTGGCACTGCCTTACCTGCCGTGGCACTCCCTTACCTGCCGTGGCACTCCCTTACCTGCCGTGGCACTCCCTTACCTGCTGTGGCACTCCCTTACCTGCCGTGGCACTCCCTTACCTGCCATGGCACTCCCTTAGCTGCTGTGGCACTGCCTTACCTGCCGTGGCACTCCCTTACCTGCCGTGGCACTCCCTTACCTGCCGTGGCACTCCCTTACCTGCCGTGGCACTCCCTTACCTGCCGTGGCACTCCCTTACCTGCCGTGGCACTCCCTTACCTGCCGTGGCACTCCCTTACCTGCCGTGGCACTCCCTTACCTGCCTACCTGCCATGAGTCCTATCACTCCCTCACCTGCCACGTCTTGACAGCACTCTCAGTGTTGGCGCCAAAAAACTCATCCTCCTCGTCCTCCTCCCCACAGTAGAACCCCTGGCGGGCCAAAGCAGCCTGCAAGCACATGGTTTCACACAAGAACACACACAGTGAGTGAGAGAGCAAACCAAAGGACCCATCCTCCTCCTCCTCCTCCTCCTCCTCCTCCTCCTCCTCCTCCTCCTCCTCCTCCTCCTCCTCCTCCTCCTCCTCCTCCTCCTCCTCCTCCTCCTCCTCCTCCCCACACTTGAACCCCTGAATGGCCAACGCAGCCTGCAGGCACATGGTTTCATATAAGAACACACACAAGGAGTGAGGGAGCAAACCAAAGAACGCATCCTCCTCCTCCTCCCCACAGTAGAACCCCTGAATGGCCAACGCAGCCTGCAGGCACACACGAACATGCGAAACGCGTCTCCTGGTTTTGTGATCATCTATGCATATAATATATCTCTTCTTAAGTGAAGGACCCAGAGGACGCATCCCCCTCCTCTTCTTCCTCCCCACAGTAGAACCCTTGACGGGCCAATGCAGCCTGCAGGCACACACACAGCGTCACATAGAACCCCTGCCATGCGAATGCAGCCTGCAGGCACATGGTTTCATACAAGAACACACACAAGCAGTGAGAGTGAGAGAGCAAACGATGCATCCTCCTCCTCGTCCTCCTCCCCGCAGTAGAACCCCTGGCTTCCTCCAACAATGACAGCCTACCAGTAGTTTCTGCAGGTCCTCTCCATACGCTCCCCAATTCACACTGCAACATTTAGCCAATAATATATATATATATATATATATGTATGTATATTTATGTCTCACTTATGTAATGTATGAATGACATATTCCAAACATCACTGTACCTGCAGTTGAGCCACGTCATCTCCATACAGCCCCCGATTCAGCTTCCGCTGAACTTTTCTCGCGCCTTCCTCCTGCTTCCCTGCGCCCCCTGCCACGTCAGCGCCGCCCTCGTCCACGTCAGCAGGGAGCGGGTTCACTGTGCGCGACGCCACAGCCGCGATGATGTCAGCATCGGGAACGTTCCTCAAAATTTCCTCTGCAGTTGCTCCTGCAACACCAGCCGTAGATCTAACACCATCAACGGCTGTAGCTCCTCCAGCTGTAGCACTACCCGTAGATGAAGCCGTTGGCCCCAACAGCTGTAGCAGGCTCTCCGCACCTGCGCCAGCAATCACTCCTGATGACGTGGGAATTGCTGCTGACGTGGCTACCTCGCTGGCTCGGTGGCTATCCGTAGTTATCTGTAGCAGGTGCGTTAGTCCCCGCAGCAGCACCAGCAGCTGCTGCTTCGATAGATCACTCCCCACTCCCCCGGCTCCCCCTAATCCTCCGCCTATTTCCCCGCCTACCGCTTCCGCCAGCTGCGCCTGCGCCTGGGGGAGGAGGGGGGTGGGGCTCTGCGCCAGCCCCCCTCCCCCCGCGCTTGTGAGCGCGGCGCGGAGAGATTCCACTTCCGCTTCGAGCGCCGCGATCTCCGCTTCGAGGGAAGCGCGCTCGCGCGCCCACCGCGCTTCCTCGCGCTCCCACCGCAGCTCTTCCCGCTCCCACCGCTGCTGCTCGCGCTCCCAGCGCCTCTCCTCGCGCTCCCACCATTCCGTCACGTCGTCCCCTCCGCTTCCGCCGCCGCCTCCGCCGCCGCCGCCGCGGATGGCGGAAACCATAACAGCCTTCCTTGCGGAGACTGTTCCGCGCGAGGCTGCAATTCCGCGGAATGCTTTCCGCTCCGCGAGCGACCGGCGCAGGGTGAATTGCCGGCTGGAAAGGCTCTCGCTGTAGCCCGGGCGGCCCAGTTGGGGGGTGTAGGGCTGTAGCCGCGCGGATGTAGCACCACGAGCGGATATCATGGAAGAATGGCGGGAATCCGCGCGCGAAACCACCGCGACGGTGCGACTGTGGCTGAATGTGATTATAGAGCTAGCGGCGGCGGAAATAGCTGACGCCATTTGGCAGGTAATAGCACCCTGACCTTGGAACGATTCAGTCTGTTCCAGTGACAATGCAGCCTGTTTCGGAGCCCGGCTTTCGCGGAAGAAGAAACCTCTCGAGGGTGGAACAACTGGAACGAATGGTCTAGGCTAGAAAGCCAGAATGGATCTGGAATTTTGATCAGGAAAATATCGAGAGCGAGAAACTATCTCCTAGGTTTTATACTCGATTGCAACAACCTCGTTCTCAGTTCTGTGATTTTTTTTCTATTTATACCATCTCGAGTTGGGTGGAAGTACACGCGCTTTTTCCTGGTGACCGTTGGGGTTGGGGACCAGTGGTTTTCAGCTCAACCGATCATAGTTGCGGCAACGGTTGTCCTAGACGTCAGCAGTCAGGCTTTTTCAAATTCGTGCATTTTAGGCTGCCCTGAATTCGGAAACATGTGGTGTTTTCCACGCATTTGGGGGTATCGCTCCATCCTATGTCTCCGTCCTTGCGTCGGCGGAGCACTGCATCAGAGCGGTTCAGTCTGAACTTTAAGGGGGTCTCTAAGTGTGAACAAGAAACTCCGTTTTGCTTGAAAAGCGTGATTAAAGAAATCGACTTCTGAAATTTCTGAAATTGCCATTGAATCCTTCAGCATAGCTCAACAACCCAAGGCTGTCAGACTTGTGTCAGCCGACGAGGCTTCTAGAGTTGTAGTGAATTTGAGCGGATGAAATACCTGAAAGAGCACTGGAAAGTCTCAGGGCGTTCAGATCCCATAAGATTCCCGTTCTTTCATAGTCATCCATGAGACTCCCGTTCTTTTCATGCTCAAATTATTCTGCTAGACAAGCCAGACAAGCTAAGTCTTGAGTAGATATCCTCCTGCCATCGTTCATCATGACCTGCTAAGTATGTCGGTGTCTTGAGTTCAGCTATAAAGATTGGGAACGAGCCGTTCTAGCTAGACTTTATTTCGAACGTTTGTGTAGACGACAAAGTCCAGGTTCAAAATGTATTAGTAGGATACTCTGGCCAAGGGTTAGTGCATCAAAGAAGCCAGACGTCACCGAAAAGGTCGAATAGCGGCGGGCGAACTTAGAGAGCAAGCGAACGGTCGCACGTCGACTGCCTCGGACTCGCGCACTTATCGCACAGTCGCGAAGTAGCCGCACAGCAGTCGCACAGCAGTCGCACAGCGATCGAGCGACATGGCGAACCTGGGATTCTTCAAGGAGGTGATGGCGGAGGCTGTAGACAGGGCGAAGGGCGCCGTGGTGGAGAAGACGCAGGCGGCTGTGGGGAAGGCGAGGGAGATGGTGGGACTGGTGGATGCCTCGGCGGAACCCTCGGCGCCTCCCCCGGAACCCTCCATTCTGGACGAACTGAACCAGTACTGCTCATTGACGCTGAAACAGGTGCGTTCCTTCTCTCCTGTTGGTTGTCTGGTAGGAAGGCGGGGAAGGGGGGAAGAACGCCAGCGGAAAGGCAGGGGGGAAGGCCGCGGGGAAGGCTGTGGGGAAGGCGAGGGAGATGGTGGGACTGGTGGATTCCTCGGCGGAACCCTCGGCGCCTCCCCCGGAGCCGTCTATTCTGGACGAGCTGAACCAGTACTGCTCGCTCACGCTGAAGCAGGTGCGTCCCTCGGCTCTCGTTCAAGGCCCCTTGAATTCGGCCTGAGCTTGAGCCTTCTAGTCGGGTCGAGGGTCACCTGGGTGAAGCGATAGACAGGGCGAAGGGCGCCGTGGTGGAAAAAACGCAGGCGGCTGTGGGAAAGGCGAGGGAGATGGTGGGACTGGTAAATGCCTCGGCGGAACCCTCGGCGCCTCCCCCGGAGCCGTCGATTCTAGACGAGTTGAACCAGTAGTGCTCGCTCACGCTGAAGCAGGTGCGTTCCTTTCACTCTTACCAAGGCCCTTCAGTTCAGCCTCTCCCGGAGCCGTCGATTCTGGACGAGTTGAACCAGCGCTGCTCGCTCACGCAGAAGCAGGTGAGTTTCTCTGCTCCTGTTTGAGGCCCTTCAGTTCGGCCTGAGCTGTGAGCGTTCGAGTCGGGTCGAGAGTTGCCTTGTTGAAGCCGGTGTGAGAGAGGGGAACGCGGTGGTGGGCAGGGGCTGTGGGATTGGTGGTGGAGAACATTATGACCATTACCCCTTTATTTTGGGGTAATGGTTGTGTTCTTAAGAGGATTGAGGGGAATGCGAGGGAGATGGTCGGGCTGGTGGATGGCTCGGAACCCTTTTTTTAGGCGCCTCAAATTCTGATTTTTGGGCGCCTCGAGAAGAGGACACGGTGGTGGACAGGGTGGTGGACACGGTGGTGGACACGGTGGAGGACACGGTGGTGGCCACGGTAGTGGCCACGGTGGTGACCACGGTGGTGGCCACGGTGGTGGCCACAGTGGTGGCCACGGTGGTGGACACGGTGGTGGCCACGGTGGTGGCCACGGTGGTGGCCACGGTGGTGGCCACGGTGGTGGCCACGGTGGTGGACATGGTGGTGGACACGGGCTGTGGGATGGTTGTGTTCTTGAGAGGATTAGGGAAAGGGGGGGGGGCATGGAGAGATGGTCGGACGGGTGGATGGCTCGGAACCCTCAGTGCCTTTCTCCAGAGTGATTTCTGGAAACTCTAAAGAATTCCCAGAGCCGTCAATCCTTGCATCAATCGTGTGATATACCGTGTGTGTCACAGAATATGTATCATGTATTTGCATCATGCATCACGCTGCTAAATCTCAGTCTCCTCTACGTACCCTTCTCCATTCCACCCCCCACATGCCTTGCTGCATTTATGTTGCAAATGCGTCTCAGAGAAGACTTTTGAGTCGACTCAAAAGTCATACCCTTCTCCATTCCACCCCCCACATGCCTTGCTGCATGTCTGTTGCAAATGCGTCTCAGAGAAGACTTTTGAGTCGACTCAAAAGTCATGCCCTTCTCCATTCCACCCCCCACATTCCTTGCTGCATGTCTGTTGCAAATGCGTCTCAGAGAAGACTTTTGAGTCGACTCAAAAGTCATACCCTTCTCCATTCCACCCCCCACATGCCTTGCTGCATGTCTGCTGCAAATGCGTCTCAGAGAATATACGGCTTCGCTACGTGTCTCTGCATCGGCATCTTATGCACGCTCATGGTAACCGCCTTCCTTTTGTAGACTGACTGCTTTTGTGTGGTAACCGCCTTCCTGTGGTAACTGGTAACGATGGTAACCATTTACAACACCCACCTTCCGATGGTATATGGCTTCGCCACTGGTCTCTGCATCAGCATCTTCTGCACGCTTATGGTAACCACATTTCCACCTTCACTTGTTGATCGCCTTTGTGTGGTCTCCTTTCGATAACCGAATTCATCGCCCATCAAGTTCTGTCTTGCCTCCCACTCCCAGGCACTCAGCTTTCCCATAACCGTCTCCTGCTTCCCCATGCCCCTTCTCTCCTTCTGATCCCAACGCCAGTCCATTCTTGTGTTTCCATCTTCCATCTAGCTCATATCCCCCACTCCCAGCCACACAACGTCCCTCTTTCCCCTTACCCCCCGTCCACTCCCCCTTCAACTCCCTCACCTATACCAACACCAGTCTATTCTTGTGTTCCCATCGCCCGTTAAATTCGCTCTCACCTACTCACAGCCACTCAACTTCCCACCCCCCACCCCTCCTCCCTCCTTCCCCTCCCACTTCTCCCCACCCCTCTACCCCACCTATCCCAACGCCATTCTATTCTTGTGTTCCCATCGCTCATCTCATTCGCTCTCACCTACTCACAGCCACTCAACTTCCCATCCCCCACCCCTCCCCCCTCCTTCCCCTCCCCCTTCTCCCCACCCCTCTACCCCACCTATCCCAACGCCAGTCCATTCTTGTGTTCCCATCGCCCATCAAGCTTAGTCTCTCCTTCTCCTCCACACCTTCCCTCCCCACTGATCCCAACGCCAGTCCATTCTTGTGTTCCCATCGCCCATCAAATTCGCTCTCACCTACTCGATCGGCAACCTCATGGCCATTGGCAGGTGAGAGGGTGAGGTGCGGTGCGGTGAGATGAGGTGAGGTCAGGTGAGGTGAGGTCAGGTGATGTGAGGTGAGGACAGGGCAGGTAAGGTGAGGTCAGGGCCTGGCAGACAGCTGGCCAGATCATGAAATTCGCTCTCACCTACTCGATCGGCAACCTCATGGCTATTGGCTGGTGAGAGGTTGAGGTGAGGTGATTAGCAGTGAGGTGATTTGCGGTGAGGTCAGGTCAGGTGATGTGAGGTGAGGTCAGGGCATGGGGACCCACCCTACTTTCAACCCATGAGAGTAGAGGCATGCACCTGGGCATGGGGACGTGCCGAAGTGCATTGCACAGCACAGGGTTTCCGATTGTCTTCACACGGCAGCTCAAGATGATGTTTTAATCCACCCTTTCCTGGTAGCTTTCCCATACGTCCCTTTCCCCCATCTACACTCCACAGCACGGGGTTTCTGATAGGCTTCACCCGGCAGCTCAAGAGGATGTTTGATCCAAATTTTATCTTTTTAATCTCTCTCCACTCTCTCCCGCTTCCTTTCTCCCACTTCCTCGTCCCTCCTAACCCCCATGGGAGCAGCACCAGTTGCCTGATAGGCTTCACTCGGCAGATCGAGTTGATTTTTGAACCCATCCTTTTCCTGTGCTCCGCCTCTATCCCCACTGCCGTTACCCCGTCCTCCCCCACTCCCACTGCTGGCAACAGCACAGGGTTCCTGATAGGCTTCACCCGGCTTTTGAGTCGACTCAAAAGCAGACTCCTGGCAACAGCACAGGGTTCCTGATAGGCTTCACCCATCCGCTTTTGAGGTGTGTTTTGAGTCGACTCAAAACACACCTCGACTCAAAACACACCTCGACTCAAAACACACCTCGACTCAAATCACACCTCGACTCAAAACACACCTCGACTCAAAACACACCTCGACTCAAAACACACCTCGACTCAAAAGCAGCTCAAGATGATGTTTGATCCCATCCGATCCGATCCTTGTCCTTTCTCCCGTCCACACTCTCCCACTTTTTTTCCCTCTTCCCCTCTCTCCCTCCTCCATTCCCCTACTGGCAACAGCACAGGGTTTCTGATAGGCTTCACCCGGCAGCTCAAGATGATGTTTGATTGATCCTCTCCCTTTCCCCTGTCCCCTCTCTCCCACGTCCTTGACCCCGTCCTCCCCCGCTCCCCCTACTGGCAACAGCACAGGGTTTCTGATAGGCTTCACCCGGCAGCTCAAGATGATGTTTGACCCGATCCGAATCGGTGCCGCCATTGTATTTGTCCTCTCACTCGTTCTCACACTCGTTGCTGCTCTTTATGTAAGTACACTTTCATACTCATTGTTGTCCTTGTGAGTCATTTATGAGGGGCTAAAAAGATCGCCTCACTACACCCGAATTGGTGGCGCCAGCGTCTTTGTCCTCTCACTCGTTCTCACACTCGTTGCCGCACTTTATGTAAGTAAACTTTCGAAGGTTTTTCTGTTCATCTCGTATTCGCTATTGTATCCACGATTAATTTACCATGAGATTGATATACACTGAGCATCCTCACACTCCCTTCTGGTGTATATGCATGAAAAAGATACAGTGCTGTTATCGACGTACACTTTTCATGAGTGATTTCGCTGCTATTTACATGGGTTATTTACCCTTCTCCCTTGACTCCTGACCATGAGCAGGTTCAAGACGCCCTTCTCACTCTTCTCTGCATCGTCGTGCAAGCGTGTTCCCTCATATGGTATGCCATGTACCGTGAATGTTATAGCATGAAGGGTGCATAACTGGTGCAAGCGTGTTCCCTCATATGGTATGCCATGCGCCCTCGAAAGTTATGCCTTGTATCATGTATGCCATTATGACTTCGTGGAATGCGCTCCCATATGGCACGTGATGCACTCCCATATGGCACGTGATGCACTCTTACATGCTGTGTGGCGTGTGCCTCATTTGGTTTCGCGTCCGCCCTTATGTGTGCTGGTTTGAACACGCACATCACATGGTATGATTGCATATAAGCATTTTCCCATGTTCCTACTCTTTGGCCTCATCTCTGTACTGTTGCATTCTTTGCCTTTTATCTCTTGCTTCACTTTTCTTCTCTTTGTTTCACTTCCCTTCACTTTCCTTCTCTTCATATGCAAATACGTATGCTTAATAAGGGGACAAGGGAGCTTAGTGGGTCCACACGAGAAGCACGAAACACATTCAGTCCCACTCTCCCCCCCCCTCTCTCTTTCCTTTCCCTTCCCGTCGTTTCCCTGATCTCGTCAGGTACTCGCTAAGCTACATCCCCTTTGCGCAATTATCTTCTAAGCCACGCTCCCTGTCCCCCCCACCCCCCTCTCCTCTTTCTCTCTCGTTCTCCATCCCTACTTCTCCCTGACCTCGTCAGGTACTCGCTGAGCTACATCCCCTTTGCGCAATTATCTTCTAAGCCACGCTCCGTGTTCCCCCCCCCCTCTCCTCTTTTTCTCTCCTTCTCCATCCCTACTTCTCCCTGACCTCGTCAGGTACTCGCTGAGCTACATCCCATTTGCGCAATCGTCGGCCAAAAGGTGCATGCGCATGTGCTACGAGGCGGAGTTTTGAAGTGCACCACAGATGTTTTCATATTCAAAGAAAGGTGCAAGCATAGGCCTACAGTACCTACCATACACCAAAAGGTGCATGCGCATGTGCTACATGGCGGAGTTCTGATCTGAAGTGTACAGGGATTGTCCTTTTTAGAGACTAAAGTGAGGATAAGCCTCCTGTATCACCATACGCCTAACTGTAACTGTGCATGTGCTAGGAGGCAGCGTGTTCAGTTGCCAGTGGCTCCCTCCAGGGAGTGCTGGGGTAGGCGATGCCTTTCAAAGATAGTCACATTCGTGATTAAGGATGATTTTTTTTTTTTTGGATGCATTTCACTGTAGAGCGAGCACATCCACAGTCGTAACTGCTGATAAAGGATGATTATATACAGTAACTGCAATAGAAGGTTTTCTGTACGAACTAGTGCAACATTAGGAACATCCGATAGAATCAACCAAATACAACTTCTTTCTCCGCGCGCTAGTCCCCCGTCCGCAGGGCGCAACCACCGCACGCGGTGGACTTGCCGCAGCATTAGTCACCTCGCCGTAACACCTAAGAAGGTTTTACTCACGCGGCCCGTACGATTCGGCGCTTTAGCCGTCAAAATCCAGGATCACCGTTATCGGCACCACTGACAGCATGCGCGGGTGGAACCGCCTCGGGTTTTCAAAACACAACCGCGTGTTTCGGATCGGACCGGGTTATAGTGGGCGTGAATGCGAGCGTCAGCACCACGATTATCACGAGCACGGGCAGCAGCAGCAGCTCGTCCGGCGGAGGACCGACGCGCGGCAACATCGCTGGCAGCAGCACCACCACCACCATCGCCACCACCGTTACAAGAAACACCGACGACCATGGCGCAAGAATTTGAGGATCTTTCGCTGCCGCCGCCGCCGCTTCCGCCAGATCGTCCGCGCAGACGCCGCTTCTCCGCTTCTGTGTTAAATTCGCGCCCGCCGCTGAACTCGTGGCGCAACTTTGGGGGCCTCCTGTCGCCGCTTCCGCCAGGGTCGCATCCGCGCAATTGTCTTCGCGGAAGCTGGCGCACGGAGCGGCGGAACCATGCGCCGAGGGCTCGCGCATCAGTAGGCGACTCAAACTCCGCTGCGATCCGCTGCCCTCGCTCCGTCGAGCCGACAATCCCGCGAAATCATCCGATCGATTTCCGATTATGCTACCAGCAGCAGCGGCGGATGCTCGGCTTCTAATGTGCGACCCGGAGCCGCACTCCCGCCAGCTTCCGTATCCCTCAGTTCTAAGACCGTCCGCCTTCGCGCTAAAATGACCGAACGCGGCGCCTCTGCGATCCGAACGAATCGAAGAGGGCTGCGTGAAGTGCGGAAGCTCTTGAAGCTCAGGAGCAGCTCTGGTGCTGACGCGTGCATGAGAGGCGACATACGCGTTAGAAGCCGCTGCGGTGGACTCGGGATAACCACTGGCGACGCTTGAGCATCGGCGGAATTGCCGATTGCTGCTACTACCGGTGCTCGGGGGGTCGCTTTGGGGACTGAGATTCGGCGGCGACAGTGTGTGCGCCGGCGTGTGCGACAGCATCGATTTTCCGCTAACTCCGCCGTGCATGGAGCTACCGGGAGATGAGTCCCTGGAACCGCCGTGAAACGCGGAGATAAAGTCACGTGGATCCTCCAAGACGCGCCGCGTGTGGTCGTTGAGAGTTGGGGCTGCTGACGACAATGGTGTGTTGGATATACACATTTCGCGAACGGCTGAGATTTCGTCCTCTGAAAATTGAACACTGCTAGTCAAGCGCTAAGGCAAGGGGGCTGTCGCGCTAAACATAAAGATCGAGAAAACTGAGTCTAAACATTACTACAATCTGGTCGATGGTGCTGAGCTGATGCTATGAAGAAATGTCGATAACGTGGCGTTGGGGATTGGAGTTGGGAAGTTGCTCGAGAAACTATGTCCACCCTAATCATGGAAACGCGGCGAGATATGACCATGCGTGCACTGCAGATGGAAAACGAGAGACTCTGCTCTGCTAAACGAAGAACTGCTTTTGAACAGCCAACGAGATGGCGGAGATGGAATGGAATGGAAGCCATGGCCTTGAGCACGTGGAAGGTGAGAAGAAATGTTCTGAAGTGGAGCTTGTGCCGCGTCAGTTGAGTTGAAAAGTGTAAACAAAAGTACGTTTTGTGGGATTCAAAGGCTTTTGATACGGTGATGCGAGTATGATGGTTGGCTTTCATGTTCCTTTGATGCGCTGGATGTTGCCATCGATGTGCGCTGTACTCGGGGAACGCGTGTACACTGTTGCGCGTGGTACCGCCCTTGTGGTGCCTTTTGGTGGGAGAGCGGGTGCGGCGGTGGCTCGCCCCGCCAGACAGTTTCACCCAGCTCTCCCCTGCACAACCACGAGCGTAACACGAGCACAAACGAAGCGGGCCACGGTCTGCGATTTTGACGAAAGTGAGTGCACTGTATACAGAACATCGCAGGGCATTTGGGAATTTGGGAAACTGTCATGAAGATGGTGGGAGGTGGATGTACAAATGGTTGGATTTAGTTCGAAGCTCAAAGGTCTTGGAGAGTTGGGCACATTCTGCTGAAACCGACTGGAGTTGTGCGACTTTGAAGGGACCTTTTAGGTCGCGCTTCTGGGCAAAGCTTGGACACCATCAACTAAAATTTTCTCTCAGTGACGTGTACAAACACCCGATCATTGGTCATTGCACAAGCTGCAAGAAATCTTGGAGCATGACAACCAATCAGACGTGTTCATTGCTACCAAAGTGTCCACACTTCAGATGGTGTCCAGACTTCAGAACCGCGGTCTTAGTCTTGTACTGTAACGCAGAAAGGAAGGAACCACTGCTCGTGCTATTTCTTCCACAAAGCACGAACGCGTGTCATGGCATCATTGGTTGCAGTCATGCGTTGGCATGATGTCGAATGAGTTTCCGCCGTCGCTCTTAAACCCCCCCCCACAGTCGGGAGTCTCAACGATGGCGGAATGAGGGGAGGGGAGGGGAGGGGAGAGGGAAGGAAGCCAAATTCACGAGGAAGTGATGGATGCTGTTGGCTTGCACCGCCAAATTCCTGCAGAACGCGCAAGAGAGTGGGCGAGAAAACATATGGATGGACACGTCAGATAAGCACTGCACTTCGACACACAACTGTAAGAAACAACAGACTGGGCCGCGGTTCTGCAACAGTTCATCCGTTGGTTCGAGCACAGATCATCGCATCTCCAACATTTTTTTAAACAGTAAAATAGTTCCCACGGGTGCTGAAAACACCCACAAAGCGTTGCGAACATGCTCCGAACTCTCTGCTTCAGCAATTCATAACTGATTTCCACAGCAAACGACACCATTTTTTTGAGTAGATCGCAAAGATTGTGCGAAACAAAACAAAGTCTGATGGTAACTTTTGCCTGGACCACCACAAGATAAACACATCTCCCAACCACTTTATAGAAAACACTGTGGCGTACCAAGCAGGATACGGCCAGTCCAATTAGCACGCAGAATTGCTGCCAGCTAGATCAAGATGGGTCATCCATACGGGCGAATCTGCGAATTCCGCTGCACTTGCAGCATCTCGGTCGTGCAACCCCAAGATATGGCTTGCTCACTTTCTTCGAGATTTCTGTGCACTGTACCAGCCGGGCGAATGCTCCTACAGTGTCTCAATCATCTCAAACCTGCTCAATTCAGGGGCTGGAACCCCCTCCAAACTACAGTTCCTCCAATTTTAGATAGCCAAAAGAAATCCGAGGAAACGAATTTTTTATACCTACTATCAAAGGCTTCAAAATAATTGCAGGTGGCTCCTCATTTTGTGAACATGATGATTCTGTATCACGTAAGACCATCCAAATATAGGCCTTCCATCAATGAAAAGAATTTTGCTCATAATTCCTTCTACATTACGCTATATACAGCTCTGCACGTAAGACCTCCCCCCCCCCCCCCCCCCCACCCCCCCGCACAGATGCTTACCACGATGACATTATTCCATATATGGGTTGCATGCTACTACTGTACATGTATCCTGTGTAACTGTGTCCTGAGACCACCTCTGTAACTGCCTGTTTTGCCTCCTCTAACCGCCTCTTGTACCTGCCTCTTGTAACTGCCTCCTGTAAGTGCTTCCTGCAAGTGCCTCCTGTAACTGCCTTCTGTAACCGCCTCCTGTAACTGCCTTCTGTAACTGCCTCCTGTAACCGTCAAATGTAACTGCCTCCTGTAACTGCCTTCCGTAACTGCCTCCTGTAACCGCCTTATGTAACTTCCTTCTGTAACTGCCTCCTGCATATGACAGCTGTAACTGCCTTCTGTAACTACCTCTTGTAACTGCATTCTGTAACTGCCTCCTGTAGCCTCCTGCAAGTGCCTCATGTAACCGCCTTCTGTAACCGCCTCCTGTAAATGCCTTCTGTAACTGCCCCTCGTAACTGCCTCTTTTCTGTAACTGCCTTCTGTAACCCCCCCCATGCTTCATCCTTTCCAATACCCATTGCCTCCAAGGCAGCCTTTGCCCTCCTCTACCATTCTCACTCTTCTATCCAACACCCAATCCCAACATACCCAACATCAGCGCTGTTGAAAAAACCTGAGTCGCTTTTGAGAATTCTCAAAAGCAACCCCATATACACACATGCATCCTCAATTCATGTCTGCATCAGCTCTCGACCCAGTCAGCCCACGGCTATTCTTCTCCCCCACCCGCTCCTCGCCCACTGTTAGCCTGCTTCTTCCTCTTCTTATTCCCCTCATCCTCCCAACCACGGCACCCCAGTCTCGATCCTGTCAGCCCGTGGGTATTCTTGTCCCCAACCCCTTACCCTTTTCCCTGTTTCTTCCTCTTCTTATTCCCCACATCCTCCTACCCCGGGGTACCCTAATCTCAACCCTGTCAGCCCATGATTATTCTTGCCCCACACCCCTTACCCTGCGCCTCCACCCACCCTCTTCCCCTGCTTCTTCCTCTTCTTATTCCCCTCATCCTCCCACCTACGGCACCCCAGTCTCAGTCATGTCAGCCCATGGTTACTCTTTCCCCCCCCCACCCCCCCTACCCTTTTCCCTGCTTCTTCCTCTTCCTGTTCCCCCCATCCTCCAATCCCCAACTCCCTAATCTCGACCCTGTCAGCCCATGAACATTCTTGCCCACCCCCCCACCCCTTACCCTGCTCCTCCACCCACCCTCTTTCCCTGCTTCTTCCTCTTCTTCTTCCCCTCGTCCTCCCATCCCCCGCAGTTCAACTTCGATCCACTCTTTTTGAGATGCCTACAAAATCAGCCCCTACCCTGCTCCTCCTCCCCCCCTCGTTCCTTTCTTCTTCCTCTTCTTCTTCCCCTCATCCTCCCACCCCGGGCACTTCAATTTCGATCCTGTCAGCCCGAAAATGTCCACATGTGCATCGAGCTGCGCCAATCGCAGCTGGACACGTGGCAGGCGGGTGCACTGCAGGCAGAGGAGGAACCACATGTTCCTCTCTGCATGCGGATTCGATACAAGCAACTTCTCACCAGGAGTACACGCTCCCAAAAGCTTCCGTTTCGCAGAGGGAGCGTTGGGAGGGGTAGAGACGGGAGGCAGCTTGGCGTGCCGGGCTATGAACTCGCCCTTGCCTCCGCAGCTCCTGCAGGCATGGCGGAAGAAGAGAGAGCGCCACTGGGGGAAAGGGGGGGAAGGGGGGAAGGGGCGGACGAGAAGACATTGGATGGAGCATGCATGGGGGAACAGGGAACAATGAGTCTGCCCCCCAATACCACCGCAGGTCCTGCAGGCATGGCGGAAGAAGAGCGAGCGCCACTGGGGGAAAGGGGGGGATAGGGGGGGAAAGGGGGAAGGGGCGGACGAGAAGACATTGGATGGAGCATGCATGGGGAAGCAGGGAACAATGAGTCTGCCCCCCAATACCACCGCAGGTCCTGCAGGCATGGCGGAAGAAGAGCGAGCGCCACTGGGTGGGAGAGGGGGGAGCAAGGGGGGAGAGCAAGGGGAAGTGTGAGAGAGATTGGGGAAGTGAGCGGAGAGGGGGGACAACAGGGCGGAAAACCCAGGAGGGGCGGGGAAGGGACGAGCTCTCATGCTGAAGATTTTACACCAGGGTAAGCGAGAAATGGTAGGGTTACCAGAAAAAAAACAAAGAGAATTACGGGGAAGTGGGGATGAGAGAGGGAGGAAGTGAGGATGTGAGTGAGGGAGTGAGTGAGGGAGTGAGGGAGGGAGTGAGGGAGAGCTCACAGGATGGAAGTAGGAAAGCTCTGTCTGCTCTGCCCTCGAGGTCGTCTTGGTGGTTTCCACCCTTTCTTTAAGTCGACTCAGACATAGGCTCAATAGCACGCGATTTAGATGCTAAGAAGTTGTTTGCTGCTCACAGGTCGGAAGGAGGAGAGCTCTGTCTGCCCTCGAGGTCGTCTCGGTGGTTTCCACCCTTTCCTCTCGCACTCCCTATGAAACAGATGCTCGCTCGCATGCGACCAGAACCGACACACCTGGGGGGATAGGGGGACAAGAAAGGACAAGGAAAGAGAATGGGAAAGGTACCTTCACATCCTTACCTCTAAGGAATTAACACGCTGGTTCGCTCATTGGCTGTTTTGCTTTATTCCTTCTCGCTCTCATCTTTCCCTCGCGCTCGCTCTACCTTTCCTTCTCGCTCGCTCTACCCTTCGTTTATAGAAGCACCGGGGACGAAAAGGGTGAGAGCGAGAAGGGCAGAAGGGAAAAAAAACGCTTTCAACTTGGCAGGTGACGCGATCGCGAATTAGGGTTACCACCTTGACGGGCCTCGCTGACGAAAGAGGGTACCTGCGACGCGGCGAGGATAGTTTTAAACGGCAGTTTCGCGAAGATCGCGGACAGAAGATCGATGTCGCGACGCTCAGTCAACTCGTGGAGCACGTGCGGGGGATCCTGAGGTTCCGCCATCTGCGGCGATTGCTGATCGTTACTGCACGCGATTAGTCGCACTTACGACGACAGTCTAGGGAGCCATGGGGAAGCGTATATGTGACGGCTTGAAAACCACCAATACAGACAAGACACCAGAAAAATGAAATGGAGGGAGGCAACGTGACACCCAAGGGGCGACACACGATTTGATTATGCGGTTTCGTAAGACGATGTGCGTTTTAGAATGTTTGGCTGCTCTCGTGTACGGTATTGAGCGTTTTTAAAGCATCTTCAAAAGTCGCGAGTGATAGAAAGCTCCGTACGCGGTATAATTACATATCAGTCGCGGTTCTAGAAGTTCCATGCAAAAAGCGGGGAGTTACTGGGATATATATGTAAGATCACACTTAACACACACCGCATCACATTATCTGAAACTTCAGCACACATTATATATGTGGAGACTGTCATCCTACCTGAAGATTATAGAAGATTTAACAGGTGCACTTTTTTTAGGGGCCAAATAAGTGCTGGAACCTCAGAATTAATCAAATGATGCAAGCATTGTTCGTCAAATTGGTACAACCTCTTGCATTATATCCAAAGACACAAGCTCCTTCCACTTCTCAACAAATTCCATCCGATTTCCCTCCTTGAGCGGCCTTGGAGAAACAAATACTACCTTGTTCACATCCCCAGGCACAGTCGATTCAAACATCTGCCCGACAGGAAAAGAATTCCTCAGCTGCCCGAGGAAAGATTGATATGTAGAAGCTGCCCAAGGAACAACATTTATAGCAAGAAGCCCGTCCGGTCGTATTACTGTAGCAAGTGAGCGGAGAAAACGAGGTGTAGTGAACTCTTGGGGGGGTGCGTTGAGACCAGAGCGAGGGTCCCAAGAGTCTATATCGAGGATAACTACATGGAATTGGAGAGGGGATGGTGTAGAAGGTGCGAAGTAGGAAACTCTTGGGGAACGCTGCTGCTGGTGATGCTGCTGCTTGACCTGCTCTACCTCTTGCTTCTCCAGTCCCTCTTGCCCAATCTTCTCCTCGCATCTTGCCAAACGCAACTTGGGTCGCTTCGATTCAAATCCTGCTGCTCTTTGAATCCGGGCTGCCAGTCTCACTACGTATTGCCTAGCATCCCCAATATGCACACGAATGTCACCCTTCATCTCTCTCCTTCTATTCCTCCAAGTGCCCTTCTCCCTTCCCCTCTTGCCACCATTCTCTCTCCCCTTGCTTACCTCCCTCCCCATTCGCATCTGCCTCTCTCCCCTCCTCCTCCTCGCACGTTCCTCCCTCCATTTAAGTCGCATTCCTCCATGCCCAACGCCTGATGAGGCCATGCTCGCATCAGGCCTGCCCTTCCTCTCTTCTGACCCATCCAACGCCCGGCTCTTTGGGCTCGCTAGCCGGGCATTGGATGGCCTCCACACTTTCCTCTCTTTTTCTGAGTCATCCAGCCCCCGGCTCGCGAGCCCAAAGAGCCTCTGTGCCACGCAGTGCATGAGCGCATCGATTTCCACCACCTGATGGGGTGGACGAGTGGGGCGGGAGGAGGGGGTTCTTGAGGGGAGTGAGGAGAGAAAAAGGGATTAGGTTTTGATCTTATTAGCCTCTGTGCCACAAGGTGCATGAGCGCATCGATTGCCACCACCTGGTGGGGTGGAGGGGTGAGAGTGAGGGGGGGGATGAGGAGTGGGGAGTGCGGAGCGAGGAGGAGGAACGGGTTTGATCCCAGTAGATTCTGTGTCAGGTTGATGTGCAATACACCCGATCTACTCGACTTGCCTGAATGTGGTAGTCCGGTCGGTGCGCGTTCAGGTACATGGGCAGAGTGAACGCCCCTCCTCCTAACACCAGCACTCGCACTCCCTCTCTCCTCCCCCCCTCCCCTGTGTCTCTCTCTAAGGCCGGCTGGTCTCTCCCCTCCTCCCCCCCTCCCCTCCTCCCTCTCTCTCTTTCCTCAGCCACTCCTCTCTCTGAAAGGAGCTGGACTCTCCCCTCCAAAGCAGGGGCGGCGAGAGGGAACCCGCCGAGGATAGGAGGGAGGTACTTGTGGGTGAGATGTGAGTAGTCTGGATCCAGGTGGTGATTAAGATGGGGGGGGATGGGAGGAGGAGGATGACGAGGATGAGTGGTACAGGATGTGACTATAGAGGGAGGGACTTGTGTTTTTTGAGGTGTATCAGGGGTAGCCCATGTTGTGACTATACGGAGCGGGACTTCTGATTGGATAAGGTTGGGGAGGCGTCGGAATCGCAGCCGGCGGCGTAACACTACAGGGATCATTGGGTTTGCAGTAACAGGGTTACCATCACCAGTCGTTGAACCACCACCTATAGGGTTGGCCCCGTTACTAGGGTTACCACGTCCAGTAGGGTTACGACCTCCAATAGGGTTTACACTTCTAATAGAGTTACCACCACCATTCGCTGCCAGTGCTACATCCTCCACTAACAACGGCCCAGTGAGTCCAGTACTAGGGTTACCAGCACCAGTAGGGTTACCAGCACCACTAGGGTTACCAGCACCAGTAGGGTTACCAGCACCACTAGGGTTACCAGCACCAGTTGAGTTACCACGAACATCCGCTGCCAGTGCTACATCCTCCACAAGCAATGGTCCAGTGAGCCTAGAGCGTGCTACCAGACGAACCTTCCTAGCAATTACATCGTCCTGGAAAACGAGCCATGGGATGAGGGAAGTCGAGGAGGTGGGTGGTGCGTGTGAATGAAGCGAGAGTGGTGGGTGTGACTCAAATGAAAGTGGTGGTGTGTGTGAGTGAATGGGGAGAGGAGGAAGAAAGGAGGAGGGGGCACGAGAGTGGGATTGGGGGGAAGCAGCAGAGTGGGGTGGATCAGACGCATGGGATTGCGGGGAAGGGAAGAGGCTTCGAGGGGCAAGCGCTGTGAGGAGATGGGCCAATGCAGCCTTGATCGCACCATCACTATTGCAGTTCTCATGCCTATCACCATGCCTATCACCATGCCTATCGCCATGCCTATCAGCATGCCTATCACCACCACCAGTGCTGTCACTGTCAATGCCACCACACCGCCTCATGAACAGCAAAGGCTCTTCTGGCGAGACAGTAATTGGAGAAGAATCAGCGTTATTCTGTGGATCTGTATTGACTCGCTTGGCTCGGGATTCCCAAGGGAAGTCGTCACTGTTGTTGTTACAGTTACTGTTGCTGTTCCTGCCGTCCCGTGCCTTGCCCTCACATACTGCCAAAAGCTCCCACTTGCTGCCGCCCGGGCCAATCCAGTCCGGATCAGATCTCCGTGGCAGTCTGCAGATACTACTGCTGCTGCCAGTGGTAACTCCAGAAATCAGATCTGATTCGATTCTAAAGCTACTAGACTTCCGGCGCTTCACACAAGTTTTCCTGTCTCTCCCAACCGTCCCTTCCCTTTCCGGCGTTACGCCATGTGCTGTCAGCACGCTCCTGCCCTCTCTGAAGAAAGGACGGAGCAGCTTCCTTTGGAGGCATCGCGATAGAAATGGCCGGAATCTAGACCCGGCAGCCATGGCTGCTGCAGAAGACACGGGCTGTTTGCGCTGAGATTGCATGAACATAGGAACAGTTGCGCTGGAGGCGGCGCGAGCGGAGCTGGCCGCGCGGTTCCGTCTTGTGACAATAACGAGTCTTCTCGTATTGGCACTCCGAAGCAGCTGCCACTGCCCGCCTGCTGACGTGTACACCCAATCTCTCTCGCTGCCACGTGGCACGAGCATGGCTGCGTGGAGGTGAGTATACCGAGGTGGATCCGTGTCGCCTTCGTTTATATCACCTTCGCCATCGGGAGCATCCAAAACGGTGACTGTAACGAGCGTTTCCCCGTCGGACCCACTCCGACCTTCTAACGGGTACATGAACACTTTCCGCCTTCCTGGATGGAAACCCTCAAATTCGTCCTCTTGGCTCCCTCTCGCTACAGCCACATCCGTTTCCATCGCAGCAGTACACGCATTCGAATCCAGGACGGTACGCACATGCACTCGCACAAGCTTTCCAGTCCTTTCACGGTTCGGAGCCTTGCTAGTGTACCCGCTTCAACACGTCTCGACACGCACTCGCAATCAGGTTCTAATGAGAGCTGTTCGGTAGAAGAAAGAAAGAAAGAAGAAATCGTTTTTTTTTTTTAAGTGAAAGCTTAAACAATACAGTACAAGCAAAACACTTCAGTCGTAACTGATGGACTGGGATCAGGCTGACGGGATTCCGCCTGGCCCTCCCCACAGCTTTACGGGGGTTTCACGAAGGTTCTCGGGTTCGACCAGATAGATTGAAACCTACCCTGCCACTTCAGGCCCACCGCTTCATCGACACATATCCGCCGCATGACACGTGCCTCGTCCTCCGCCAAGTTCCATCTCGCCTTATCCTTCCTCGCCTTCCTGCTCGGCTTGCCACAGTAGATTCTCGCGTGTGTGTTGAATTCCACATTTATCTTCCGAAGCACCCTCCGTGCCTGGAACTTCTTCACTTTGCGAAGCGACACCTCACACCTTCCCAGCCACACCTGGTGCATCGCCACTGCCTCCATAGTAGCTTCGGGAAAGCCAGATTTCGTCCCTTCCTCCCCGAAAACAAGGTCTGCCAGCCTGTCCACTTGCCTTGTTGGCTGCAGCATACTGAGCGCCGACTTGACAGCTCTGACCACTGGTGCCACACTCTTGCATTCAAGCAGACAATGCTCCAGTGTCTCCCTCTGCCCACAGTTCGGGCATGCCGCCCCACTACCTACGAATGGAACCCTCTCCCCCACCTGCAGGTTGAGGTTGTGCATGCGGAGGAGCACATCTCTTGCTCTGGCCGGAACCACCAGAGAGTCCCGTATCCTTCTGCTCCTCTCCCAGTCGACTTTCCTGCCTGCTCGTACTTCCCAGCCCTGCCTTTTCGCTTCCACTGCCCCTATCCCCTTGTCTGGTTCCCTGAGCTCCCTCACCGAAACCACCTCCTCATCCCTGAACAGCATCGAGTTAAGCAACCGCACCCTTGGATCTCCAGCTTCTCGTACCGCCCGTTCACTCGACAGTTTCGCCGGCACCACACTTTCACAGCCAAGTACTATCTTCACTTCCCATGCCATGCGCTCCCCTTTTCCGCTGAGCCCCCGAAGTTCCACCTTCCTACCCAGCTTGCTACAGATTTCTCAGAGGCATCTCTGCCCACTCGGGAGTCTGGTGCTAACCATCGATGACTCAGCTGCAACCTCTTCTGCCGTTAACGGCGCCAGTACCCACTGTCGCCACTGCTCCGGTGCCGCATTAAATGCCTTTAATGCCATCTCCACTTCCTTTTTTCCCCCCAGCTCCCTAGCCAACGACACCTCCGGTTTAACCGCCCTTGTCCCGTCCCATTTCCTTCGTACCATGTCACACATACGCCACATTCGTAGTTTCTCCGTGCCTTTCTGCCCACCAAATGGGGCGTTTCCACGATGGATAATACTCTTATTGTAGCACAAAAACTCCCCTTCTGCTTCCCACCTTGATGCCACCTCTGGTACCCCCACCACTGTTGATTTCAGGATTATTTTGCACAGCCTCGCCCACCTTCGGCTCTTAATCAGGCCCCCTTTCAGCACCGCCTTGTGCGCATAGAGCGTCGCCCATCCAAGAGGTAGGCCCGCCGCTTTCTCCGACAAGCCCCGTCTCAGCGAACATTCCTGCTTCAGCGCCAGCCCCGCGCACCGCAAAGCCACACTGTCAATTCTCCCCCTTGGATCAATCACCCCCAATCCCCCCTTCTCCCTATCGGCAGGACCGCAGACTTCCCCTTGTTCACCTTCAGCCCCGACACCTCCGCATACTCTTGCAGCAGGGCACCTGCCTCCTTCAGCTGCTGCGCTCCCTCCAGCAGCAAAGTCGTGTCGTCCGCGTACCCCACGTATGACAGTCGGTCGCAACTCCCCTCCCCGATGCCCAACTTCCTCTCCTCTACTAGCTGGCTCAAAGGCTCCACTGCGCATAAGAAAAGGTACGGCGCCAGTGGGCAGCCCTGCCGCACCCCTTTCTTCATCTCAATTTTCTCTCCCACCCATCCGTTAACACACAGCCTTGTATGAACGTCGCTGTGCAGGGCTTCGATCCACCGGACGAACCTTGGCGGAAAGCCCAGCTTGGCAACTGTTTCTACCATGAAACCCCTGCGCACGGAATCGTACGCCTTCTCGAAGTCAATCAGGAGAAGGTACCAGTCCTTGTTTTCGTTCCGGCCTGCCTCAATCATGTCTGCCACCATCGACACCGCATCCGTCAGCCTCCTCCCCGGTAAGAAGCCAAACTGCTCCTTTGAGATCACCTGTCCCAGCACCGCCTTCATTCTCGTCGCCACCACTTTCGCTAGAAGCTTGTACACCCCTGAAAGTAGTGTGATCGGCGTGTAGTTCTTAACATCCGTCTCCGGGCCTTTCTTATGCAGTAAAATTGTGACCGCCTTGTTCGCCACGTCTGGCAGCTTCCCAGCCGCAGTGAACTCTCTTATCATCCTCATCACCGGCTCCCGCAACAGCTCCCAATGCCACTGAAAGAACTCCTTGGGCAAGCCGTCCCATCCTGGCGATTTATCGTTGGCCAACTCGCTTAGCGCCTCCTTGACCTCCTGCTCCGACCATTCCGACGTCAGACTCACTGCAGTTGCCTCATCCAACGTCTTCCTCGGCGACCATCTCAACCTTGGCTCTGCGGCACCTGCCGGTGCTTCGCCAAAGGCTTCCTTGAAGTGATAGGTAGCCGCTTCCAGAATCTCCCGTGCCTCCGTATGACTGACCCCGTTTTCCACCAATTCTTTAATCCCTGTCCTTGCCTTCCTACTTTTGACGAGTGCCGTCAAGAAACTGGTTGGCGTTTCCCCGTCCAGTTGTACCTTGAGGCCAGACCTTAGCTGCAACCAGCTTTTCCTCCCGTCCCAGTACCTTTGCAGCATCGCTTCTCGACTGGCCAGCAGTGCCTGCAACTCATCATCGTACGGGTGAGCCATCACTTTATGCTGTAACTGCTCCACTTGCTGCTCCAGTGCACCTCTTGTCAGCTTCACCCGCTTCTTCTCCTCTTTGTCATATCTCCTCAGCTGCGCAGTTAACCCCCTCATCAGCTTGTCGAAAGCCCTGCTGCCTCCTATTTGGTGCTTCTTAATCACATCTGCGACCACCCTTGCCACACCTGGCCGTTTCAGAATTCTTGCCGGGAAACGCCACAAACCGGGGCCTGATTCACGCGGACCCTTCCATCCGAGTCTCATTCTCACTGCAAACTTATGATCCGTGATCCCCTTTGGGACTTTCTTGTGCTTCACCTCCGTCACCAGGTGCAGCATAGACTGGGACACCAGTACCCTATCAATCCTTGAGCTAACCTTCGCCGACTTGCAATAAAACGTGAATTGTCTCTCATCCGGGAACATCTCTCTGAACACATCCCTCGCATGGAACCCCGCTAGCATCTGCATCATGCGGTTGTTGTCACCCGTCACCCCCTGCCGGTTTGACTTATCCAGCATGGGATCTTCAATCATGTTAAAATCCCCTGCCACCACAAGGTCCTCCCCCTTTGGCAGGTTGTCCGCGACGTCTTTCAAGGCAGTGCCCAGGAAAAAACCCCTTGGCGTCGACTGCGCTGGAAAGTACACCGCCAATACACGCAAGACCCTCACTCCCCACCGCAGACGCACATGTAGCAGTCTTCCCGAGGAGTGCTGCTAGACATCCTCGATCTGTAACCCGTCCTTGAAACACAATACGGCCAATCCGCCCGCCCTGGTAGGAGCCGCTACCGCGGCCATGTCGGTGGTCCTGATTTCAGACCAGAAATTATGGTCTTCCGCCAGCCTAGTGTCCGCCATGATTACTACATCTGCAGCTGTCCTGATCCATCGTTTGACTGCCTGTTGTTTCCCTAGACTCCCCAGGTCGTTGACGTTCAGGGAGAGGAAAGTGAGTCGGTTGTTGTTATCCATTAATCAACCACTGCCGTTGCCCCCACGCATCCACAGGGCGTTGAAACCATCATTCTCTGTAACACGTTACACACATCGATACAGCACATGTTGTAACCCCTCCTACCACTAACACCTCTTTGTGACCTCTCTCCCGCCCAGCAGGTAACCACTCCCATCAACACCAGGACGAGCCACTTCTTCACACACCAAACTCCTTCTTCGCTGCAGGCAGACTGACTCCTGCCTTGGAGCAGCGCGTCGCCAATCCTGACTCCAGACCATCGCTGTGACGCTGGGAAACCACATGTTCGGCAGCCAGTGCGAACGTCACCCCAGTCGCCTTCTCGCAGTTTTCCTGGACGCAGATCCATTCCTCGCGATTCGCCCCAGTCGAAATCAGCACCACGGCGGGGTCCTTCAGAATGAGCCTGGTCAGATCTGTGAGTCTGACTGAGGCGGCTGCGTGTAGTCGACACACCCACAACGTTAGCACAGCAACACCGTGAAAGCGACAAGCTGCAAACCACCAGATAAGTCAAAGACACCCCTCCCTTATTACCATTAATCCCATGAACCCGTCCCAGCGACAGGCTCCAGTTGCTGATGTTGTTCTGTCTGTCCATCAGAAAGAAGAAATCGTAACAATGGGATACTGAATTCATAGCGTAATAGTGACGCTTTTGGAGATTCCGCGAAGCGGCAAAGGCGGTATGCTTTCTGTGAGATGCCTGCCTGTGAACGTAGTGCTGACCACTGTCACTACACTCGATACAATCTAATATTGTAAGTGGTTATGTTTCCGATAATCATGGTTTCATTTCTGATCCTCGCATGCGGTTTAATGGGTTTCTTCACTTTCAGACTCGGTTCAAATACGTACCACTGATGCATACATGGCAACTCATTTCCCTCCCACTTCAACAACAACCTGTAATGTAATCTCAATGTTATATCTATCAATTGACACACTCTTTTAACTTTTATTGAAGCACCCTCTGCCCGAACATTTTGTGAACCTTTTCCAGCCATCCACCAACTTCACTGATAGCCTATCAGGATTCTAGTCTGGTCCCCAGCACTCTTATTAGGTATCCTTCACCAGATTATCGATTTCCCAAATGTCAGCATTATTGTCATCGTCGCTCGGCGAAGTTAGTAGAATCGGTTGAAATCGTCGTCGTCACTAATCGATTCGAAAGCAGTCGTCAACGTCGCCAGGCGAGTCAGTAACAATCGCTTAGCGCGCTCGTCGATGGTGCTGCTGCTGCGATGGACGACGGCGGCGCTGCGAAATCTTACCGTCCGTCCACGTCAGCACCGCGAAGCCGCCACGTTACCTTCTGGCTTATCCAAGCCATACTGGGAATCGCCCTGGTCGCCTGGGTCTCTCGCTCCCTCCTCTCCTCCTCCCTCCTCTCATTCTCCTGCGATCTCTCGGTAAGATTCGGCATATCCTTTTCTATCGCTCTGTTCGCCGGCGTCTCTCGATCGCTCCTCTCCTCCTCCCTCCTCTCATTCTCCTGCGATCTCTCGGTGAGCATCTGGTGTATTTTCCTATCCTCTCCCCCCACTACCTGCTCTCCTCCCCTCCTCCTCCTTCCTCTCCTTCTCCTGCCATCTATCGGTGAGAATCTGTCGTATTTTCCATTCCCGTTTCCATTCTCTCGATTCCTTCTTTCCTCCTCCATCCTCTCATTCTCCTGTGACCTGTGGGTGTGAATCCGCCGTTTTTTTCCATTTCCATACCTCTCCTCCTCTCCTCCTCCCCTCCTCTCCACCTCTCCTCCTCTCCTCCTCTCCACCCACCTCTCCTCCTCTCCTCCTCTCCACCCCTCCTCCTCTCCTCCTCTCCTCCTCTCCTCCTTCATCTCCGTTTGAGGCGACTTAACCCTCCCCCTCTCTTTCCAGCTCCCTCTCCTTTTCTCCGCTCTCTCCTTTTCCACCCCTCTCTTTCCACCTCCCTCTCCTTTTCTCCGCTCTCTCCTTTTCCACCCCTCTCTTTCCACCTCCCTCTCCTTTTCTCCGCTCTCTCCTTTTCCACCCCTCTCTATCTCAACCTCCTCTCCTGTTCACTCCTCACTGCTCTTCACACACACCCCTCGTCCATACCACCATCAGGATCACATCAATGCAACCCTATCAGCCCAGGTACCTTCTTTTGAGTCTACTCCCTCTCCTTTTCGCTCCCCTCTCCCATTCACCCCTCATCCCCACCACCATCAGGATCACATCAATGCCACCCTATCAGCCCAGGTACCTTCTTTTGAGTCTACTCCCTATCCTTTTCGCTCCCCTCTCCCATTCACCCCTCATCCCCACCACCATCAGGATCACATCAATGCAACCCTATCAGCCCAGGTACCTTCTTTTGAGTCTACTCCCTCTCCTTTTCGCTCCCCTCTCCCATTCACCCCTCATCCCCACCACCATCAGGATCACATCAATGCCACCCTATCAGCCCAGGTACCTCCTTTTGAGGCGTTTCAAACCCTCGAACCCCTTTCTTCCCCTCCCTTTTCTCCCCTTTTCCTCTTCACCCTCTTCCACACCACCATCAGGACAACATCAATGCCACGCTATCAGCCCAGGTACCTTCTTATCATCCCAACCCAGTGCCCCTCTCGTGTTTCCTTCCTTGCACTACTACCGGCCATTCTTTCTAAAAGAGTTCATTTACGACGCATCTTGGTCATTTCTCCACCTCCCACCTCCAACCCCACCCCACTCATCATCCTTTCGTTGCCAGCTCAGATCTTCTCGTCACGTCATTTACTTTCCCTACTAGTGAAGGCGCCACTAGACCTTTCCGTGTTTCACTCGGGTGTCATATTGCGTGTGACTGCATGGCATGGGATGGTATATCATGGCATGTGATGGCACATCATGGCATGGGATGGCACATCATGGCATGGGATGGCACATCATGGCATGGGATGGCACATCATGGCATGGGATGGCACATCATGGCATGGGATGGCACATCATGGCATGGGATGGCACATCATGGCATGGGATGGCACATCATGGCATGGGATGGCACATCATGGCATGGGATGGCACATCATGGCATGGGATGGCACATCATGGCATGGGATGGCACATCATGGCATGCGATGGCACATCATGGCATGGGATGGCACATCATGGCATGCGATGGCACATCATGGCATGGGATGGCACATCATGGCATGGGATGGCACATCATGGCATGGGATGGCACATCATGGCATAGGATGGCACATCATGGCATGCGATGGCACATCATGGCATGCGATGGCACATCATGGCATGGGATGGCACATCATGGCATGCGATGGCACATCATGGCATGCGATGGCACATCATGGCATGGGATGGCACATCATGGCATGCGATGGCACATCATGGCATGCGATGGCATATCATGGCATGGGATGGCACATCATGGTACAATATGAATGGCTGCCTTGTTTTTGTTGCTCGTTGTGGCACAGCAAGGGCACAACGAGGAGGCGGCTGAAGCATTGGAGAAAGCCATACGAGCCCTCATGGTAAGGTGGTGGAGTGGAGAGCGAGTTGACTCTTGAGTTGGCTCAAAAGGCAGCTGAAGCACTGGAGAAAGCCTTACGAGCTCTCATGGTAAGTCCATAACTGCTAGCAAGTCGTGAGTCCATTGCGAGTTGACTCAAAAACGAATACATGTTAACAGCATGTACATCAAAATCTTTTATCACCTCACCTACATCCACCCTCCAACCACCTTCCTTCATCTGTATTTCCCTTCCTCCTCTTTCCTTTCTCGTTCCCTTCATCCTTCTTCCTCTTTTGCATGTCTTCACGCCTCTCCCCTTGTCTGTCGCATGCACATATACAGGTTGACAAGCCGCTTCCATCGCTAGCTGACGCTGCTGCCCGTGCTGCTTACGTGCATCTGCTGCCACCCCCGCCCTCAATTCTCAACCTTGCCTCTCTCCTGAAACTTCTGCTCCTCCTCTCCCATCGCTCCTCTTCCTCTCCTCTGTTTCCCATTGCATGCAGGTGGACAAGCCTCTGCCATCCCTAGCTGATGCTGCTGTCCGTGCTGCTTTCGACTGTTGAGACGTCCCAAGCCTTTCTCTCCTCTCATTCCCCTCGCTTGCATGCATGCAGGTGGACAAGCCTCTGCCATCCCTAGCTGATGCTGCTGTCCATGCTGCTTTCGACTGTTGAGACGTCCCAAGCCTTTCTCTCCTCTCATTCCCCTCGCTTGCATGCATGCAGGTGGACAAGCTTCTGCCATCCCTAGCTGATGCTGCTGTCCGTGCCGCTTTCGACTGTTGAGACGTCCCAAGCCTTTCTCTCCTCTCATTCCCCTCCCTTGCATGCATGCAGGTCAACAAGCCTCTGCCATCCCTAGCAGACGCTGCTGTCCGTGCTGCCTTCGTGCATCTGCTGCTCCCCGCTCCCTCCAACCTCTCCTCCTCGTCCCCCTCCTTCTTCTCCCTCTCCTCCTCCAATGATTCACCGCCTCCTGTTTCCAACTCTCAAGCACCCAGTGCTTCCGCCACTGCTATCGATCCCACTGACCCGACTGCTGCTATTGGCCACACGGCTGCTTCGTCTATTGCGAATAGTGTCTCTGCTTCTGAGGATAGATTCTCCCCTGGGTTTCCTGTGGATGAGCATGCGGGGTGTGAGAGCTTCTGTGCGACCTGCATTCGCCCCCTCAACTGCTCCCTCGTGCCCTCCTTTCCCTGCTCCTGCTGCCGCCGGCCCGACACGCCTGCTAATGTTGCTGCCTTGGATGGAGATTCGGAGGATGGTGGTGATGGTGGTGTTGGTGATAGTAGTGGTGGTGGCAGAGGTGTGACTATAACAGGAGCTCAGGGTGGGTCAGAGTCCTGTAAAGAGGAGGCCAGGGGTGGGGATAGTGCAGGGGGAGGGGGAGGAGTGGGGGAGGGGGGAGCGGGGGGAGGGGGAGGAGGGGGAGAGGAGGGAGGAGAAAGGGAGGCGAGGAAACCGGCTTGTGTTGACGGCACGGCGGAGGGCCGATGGGTGAATTACACGTGGTGGGAGGCAGACGAGTGTGAGTACAGGTGAGAAGTAGGGCGGATGATAGTTTACTTAGGATGAGTAGGCATGACATGAAAGGACGCAGTGCGAAGGGGATACCACACAGGGTGGCGGCAGTTCGATGGGTGAATCACACGTGGTGGAAGGCAGATGAGTGTGAGCACAGGTGAGAAGAAGGGCGTATGAGAGTGTTTTATGGTGAGGGCATAGCGTGTTGATCAAATACTGCGACAGCACGTATTGAGACGCCACGTGTGTGCAGTGAATTTTTGAGACGTCTAAAGAAATTCACTGTATCGGTGAAGGCATAGCGTGTTGAACGAGTATTGAGACCTGTTCGCCCCTCTTCCCTTCCATCCATCACACAGTGACCTCTTTGGTCCCAACCTCTTCAGCTGTCTCAAATGAAAGGTAGTCGGCTCACTACTTGGGCGACCAGACCAGTCAACCCCTTATTTTCTCTCCTCCCCTGTGCCTGTCTGCTCGCTTACCCTCCCTGCTCTCGCACTCCCCCCTCTGCTCTCGCACTCCCCCCTCTGCTCTCGCACTCCTCCCCTCTGCTCTCGCACTCCTCCCCTCTGCTCTCCCATCCCCCCCCTCTCCCCCATCAGTGACTTCTCTGGCCCTTGAGATGTTTGAGTGTCTCAAGGGCCAGTGGATTCACTTCTTTGGCAACCAGACTTCTCGAACGCTTTCCGCCTTTTTTGCCAAAAAGATGTCACCCCTCTCCACCACTCTCCACCCCTCTCCCGCCCCTTGTGCCAATCAGTGAGCTCTCTGGTCGGAACCTACACACGAGTGTCTCAAGGGCCAGCGGGTTCACTTCTTTGGAGACCAGACCTCTCAAACAAAGGGGCTGCAATCCACTTTACCCTCTCCACCCCTCTCCACCCCTCTCCACCCTTCTCCCGCCCCTCTTCCCAATCAGTGACCTCTCTGGTCGGGACTTACACGAGTGCCTCAAGGGGCAGTGGATCCATTTTTTCGGCGACCAGACCTCTCGAACTCTCTCCACCTTCTTTGATCCAACCTGTGTTCCCTCCTCTCTCCCCCCCCTCCCTCACACCTTACCACACCACTCCGCACCACACCTCACCGCGCAGTGACTTTTCAGGCCGTGAGATGTTCGAGTGCCTCAAGGGGCAGTGGATCCATTTTTTCGGCGACCAGACCTCTCGAACTCTCTCCACCTTCTTTGATCCAACCTGTGTTCCCTCCTCTCTCCCCCCCCTCCCTCACACCTTACCACACCACTCCGCACCACACCTCACCGCACAGTGACTTGTCAGGCCGTGAGATGTTCGAGTGCCTCAAGGGGCAGTGGATCCATTTTTTCGGCGACCAGACCTCTCGAACCCTCTCCACCTTCTTTGCCAAGAAGATGCGAATCAAAAAGGTTGGCATCAAACCTCCAGAGGGATTAGAGCCCCCTTCGCCATCTTCCTCCTCCTCTGCTTCACCCTCCTCCTCCTCCTCTGCCTCCTCCTCCTCCTCCTCCTCCTCCTCCTCCTCCTCCTCCTCCTCCTCCTCCTCCTCCTCCTCCTCCTCCTCCTCCTCCTCCTCCTCCTCCTCCTCCTCTTCCTCCTCCTCTCCCACTCCCACCGTGGATGAAGGTAGAGCTCTTATCCAGAAGGATGATCGAAGCTCTTATAACAGAAGAAGGCTTGCTTATAACGAGGACAATACTGCCAGCAAAGGCACTAGCAGCAGCAGCAACTCTATCGAAGGCTCTTCTAGTGAGAACATTGATAGTGACAGTAATGAGACAGCTAGTAACGAGGGTGACAGTACCGAGAGAGCTAGCACCGCAACTGATGGCAGTAACGAGGGAGCTAGTAATGAGGATGACAAGGCAGCAGGAGGAAGAGCAAGGGGATGGCAGCCCGTGGCAAGGATTGCCGATCGCCCCACTGTCTCGTACCTCTTTCGAGCAAAGATGGCCCACCAACGCGCCCCAGCTGTGAGTGATGGTTGTGGTATTGATGGCATTGAAGGTGTTAAAGGTATTGATGCTGATCGTGCTGCCTTAAAGGTATTGATGCTGATCGTGCTGCCTTAAAGGTATTGATGCTGATCGTGCTGCCGCTGCCGCTGCCGCTGCTGCTGCCGCTGCCGCTGCCGCAGCTGCTGCCGCCGCTGCTGCTGCTGCTGCTGCTACTGCTGCTGGTTTGATTTTGTCGATGCTGCCAGGACGATTAAGCGTACCGATTTCGCCCCTCTCTTGCTCGTCCACGCATTTGCTCCTCTCTCCAACCGCCCCCCATTTTCCCTTCCCCATTTCCCTCCTGGCCCCCATCCTCCCACACCAACCAACCAGGGGACCAACCAGAAGACAGACGTGAACGATTTCTTTTTCCGATGAGCTACAGGACCCTTTAGCGGATCGACCTTACCCCCCACTATCTCGACCCCTCTTCCTTCCTCACTTTCCCTCCCCACCTCCCTTCCCGCCTCCTCCTCCTCCCCGTCCATCCCCACTCTGATTCACCCACCAGCCAGGGGACCAACCAGAAGACAGACGTGAACGATTTCTTTTTCCGATGAGCTACAGGACCCTTAAGCGTATCACCCTCACCCCTTTTTTTCTTCCCTCCTTGCCTCCCTCCTCCCCACCCTTTTCCTTTCCTGTCCTCCCCACACACAATCACCCCACCAGCCAGGGGACCAACCAGAAGACGACGTTAACGACTTCTTTTTTGACGCGCTACAGGACCCTTTAGCGGATCGGCCGGATGTGCTTATAATGAGTATGGGCGCGCACGAGGTGTTTGGGTGGTCCGGGCGGCCGCGCGTGAAGCTAAATCTGACTGTTTATAAAGAGGATACGGAGGAGCTGCTGGGGAAGGTGCTGGGAAGCTTCCCGGAGCAGCGGGTGATATGGTGGAAGGCGCATTATATCCAACAAGGTGAGCAATCGAGATGAAGGATTTTAAGCTCTTTAGAGGGCGCCTCAAAGGGCACCTCAATGAGTGCGTTGGTGGAAGCGGCTGTGCCGCTGTGGTACCTCACTGTTCAACATTCCGGCGACTTTTGAGTCTCCTCAAAAGTCACCTCGTTACAACTGCACACGGCACTTTGACTTTTGAGGCGCCTCAAATGCCGCTGTGGTACCTGACTGTTCAACATTCCGGCGGTACCACAGCTGCTACCAACAACACGCTGCCACCTGCTTTGCTGCTAACTAATGGCCCACTTCCCCACTCCTTACCTTGTACTTCATTCCTGTTCCTCGCATGCCCCACTGGCCCTTCATGTTTGAAAGTGCAGGCAAGATCAAGGGAGAGCAGTTATTCAACATTCGGCAATACGGTACCACAGCCGCTACCACCAACGCCACGCACGCTGCCCCCCATGTTGCAGCCCACTTATACTTCCCTTTCCCTTCCATACCCTGACCCGTTGTGAGTGAATGCAGGTCTGATCAAGGGAGAGCAATTGTTCAACATCAGGCGATACCACAGCCGCTACCACCACCACCACATTGCAGATCACTTTGCTGCCTTGTGCTCATCGATCCCCCTCTTCCTCCCCACCCCTCACAGGCAAGATCAAGGGAGAGCAATAGTTCAGCATTCGTCAGTACCACAGCTGCTACCACCAACGCCACGCTGCCGCCCGCTTTGCTGCCTTGTTCTCAACACTCCCCTCTCTTCCCCCCCACCTTCCCGTTATCCCCCTTCACCCCTCTCTATCGGCAGGCAAGATTAAGGGAGAGCAATGTTCAACATTCGTCAATACCACAGCCGTTACCACCGCCATGCCGCCGCCCGCTTTGCCGCTCGCCTCATACTTGCATTCTCGCTTTCCGCTTTTCCCCTCCCTTTACAGGCAAGATCAAGGGAGAGCAATTGTTCAACATTCGGAGATACCACAGCCGCTACCAACGCCATGCTGCCTCCCGCTTTTCTGCCAACAGGCATTCGATTGCAGATTTCTATGCGACCACCAGGAGGAGGAGCGAGGCTTGTAGAGGGGATGGAGTGAACTATGACTCGGAAGTGGTTTGGCAACATGTGAAGGTCCTTGCGCATATGCTGTGTTACAAACATGCTAACAAAAGATAAGCATGCAATGGATTATATTTGTGTTTGTGTTAACAGGGTCCCCTACAACGACACAGCATTGCTAAGGGAGTGAAATGGGGAAAAGGCCGTAACTCCACTAGTGCATTCCTGCATGAACAGGCGCAGGGACACTTGAGGTTTACATGTCCCTGAGAGTGAGAGCACAGCACAGCACAGCATACTCCCAACTTCATCGTGTGCTTCTCGAGTTTTGAGTCGACTCAAAACTCGACTTATCACGCGGGGACACTTGAGGTTTACATGTCCCTGAGAACACAGCACAGCATACTCTTAACTTCATCGTGTGCTTCTCGAGTTTTGAGTCAACTCAAAACTCGACTTATCACGCAGGGACACTTGAGGTTTACATGTCTCTGAGAACACAGCACAGCATACTCTTAACTTCATCGTGTGCTTCTAGAGTTTTGAGTCGACTCAAAACTCGATTTATCACGCAGGGACACTTGAGGTTTACATGTCTCTGAGGACACAGCATAGCATACTCTCAACTTCATCATGTGCTTCTCGAGTTTTGAGTCGACTCAAAACTCGACTTATCACGCAGGGACACTTGAGGTTTACATGTCCCTGAGAACACAGCACAGCATACTCTCAACTTTTTCCTCACGTGTGCTTCTACCGGTATGCTGTGCTGTAGGCTGCTCTTTCGTGTCCCACACTACCCAGTCCTTGATGGGGGCGAGAGCTCGGCATTGGAGTGGGCAAGGGCTGTGAGCCAAGAGAGCTGTCATGTGCGCTGCTGTGCCCTTGGGCATATGTGTCCATACCTTCAAAGCATCTCAACACTAGAGTTCACTTCTTTGATGGGGGCAAAGGATCGTCAATGGATGGGCGAAGGGCCATCATGAGCCAAGAGTGCTTTATATGCGCGCTGTTGTGCCATAGCCCTTATTTTCTTCTAGGCCATCTCAAGTTCTCAAAACGTACATTTATTTCTCGTCCAAACCAGCCGTCTTTGACGGGAGCGAAGGATCGGCGGTGGATGGGGCAAGGGCCGTGCGCCAAGAGCGTGCTTTCACGTGTGCTGCTGTGCTGCTGACCACGTCTCTTACAATGAGTGCATCTCAAAACACCAGCGTTTATTTCTCGTGTAGAACCGTCCAGTCCTTGATGGGAGCAAAGGATTGGTGGTGGATGGGGCAAGGGCCGTGGGCCCATGGGCCAGGAGTGCTTTCTGTTAGAATAGTAGATTAAGTGAACACTAGGGTTTGGGGTAGGAGGAGAGTTGAGAGAAACATATGTCGAGAGAGTTTAGCCAAAGAGGAAGAATTCACTATTGAGCGAGGTACAAATAGTAAACAAAGCATGCAAAGAAGGTGCACCACCAACAGTTTATAATAACTACACTAACTACAGCTACAGGCAGTTACAGATATATTCTAACACTCCCCCATAACTGCCTGCAGCAGAAGTTTGTGCAGCAACACATCCTGGATGGGTACACCACGAACAGAGAAAACAGCATCAGTAGGCAAGAGCAGTGGCAACCGGTGCAGTGGTGGCAGATTCAGCTACACCAACCCCTCAGCCAAAGTAGAAGCAACAGACAAAGGTGCATGTGGCGGCAGGTCGCCTGGAGAGCGGGTGAGTGCGGCGGCACCGTGCGGCGGCACAGCAAGGCTCAACGGCAGCACCTGCCGCTCAACAGCAGAAGACAGCAGAAGAAACAGCAGGTGGTGGCAGGGGCGGCAGCAGGAGGTGCCACGGTAGCAGCGGGCGGCAGCTGCAGATGCCTAGCTGAGTTCCGCTACCATCTCACCCTCCCCCCCACGGCAGCACACGCGGCCGTGAGAGAGAGAGGAGGGGCGGCTGCTGGCTCAGCAGAATCTCTCTCTCCACTCCATCACAATCTCCCCCATTCCCCTCACCCTCCCCCCCGCAACCTCTTCCCCCCCTCACGGCGGACCCCACTGAAGGGAGGGGAAGGACAGGCTGCAGGCAACTCACACCCGCCACCCCCACATCCTCCCCCCCCCCCCCCACGGCGGAAGCTGCGGAAGGGAAGGGGGGGGCGGAGTTAGCTGCTGCTGGCGCTGGCGACGTCGCTGGCGCTCGCGCAGGTGCTGGCGACGGGCGCTGGTGCTGGCGCACACGACCGTGCGTGGGTGCGCACGGTCGTACGAAGCTGCGCGCAGCAATGTGCAGCCGTATGCAGCTGCGCACGGCTGCTGCTGTGTTCGTAACAGAACGGGACGTGGCAGGCGATGCGCGCGACGAGCAGGGCGCAACGGGCGCGACGGGGAGACGAAACGAGGCCGCATCTGACGCCGTCACGCAGCTCGCCGCCGAGACCGTTTTGACGGTCGCGACCGTTGCAACCATCGTAACTACGGCCGCGACGGGGGGCGTGACGAGCGCCATGAGCGGGGGGATACGTGGTGGGCCCATGGGGGAAAAAACAAACAGGTCTTAGGGCGACCTAGCTCTGATACCATGTTAGAATAGTAGATTAAGTGAACACTAGGGTTTGGGGTAGGAGGAGAGTTGAGAGAAACATATGTCGAGAGAGTTTAGCCAAAGATGAAGAATTCACTATTGAGCGAGGTACAAATAGTAAACAAAGCATGCAAAGAAGGTGCACCACCAACAGTTTATAATAACTACACTAACTACAGCTATAGGCAGTTACAGATATATTCTAACACTTTCATGTGTGCTGCTATGCCATTGACCATCTCTCTTACACTGAATGCATCACCTGTGTTTATTTCTCGTCCAGAACCGTCCAATCCTTGATTGGGGCAAAGGATCGGCGGTGGATGGGGCAAGGGCCGTGGGCCAGGAGTGCTTTCACGTGCGCTGCTGTGCCGCAGCAGCCCATATCGCTTACAGTAAGTGCATCGCAACACCTGGGCTTATTTCTCGTCTAGAACATCCCAGTCCTTGATGGGGGCGAATGACTGACGATGGATGGGGCAAGGGCCGTGAGCCAGAAGAGTGGATTTCATGTGCACTGCTGTGCCGTAGCCATGATTCCTTGAAGGCATGTCATTGCGACACTTGTGCGTTCATTTCTCGTCTAGAACAGTCCAGTCCTTGATTGGGGCGAAGGATCGGCGGTGGATGGGGCAAGGACCGTGAGCTAGGAGTGCTTTCATGTGCGCAGCTGTGCCGTAGCCCTTGTGCTGCTTGAAATCGTATGCTGGGTAGAGCCTGAAGAAGCAAGTGGGAGGGAACAGGGGAAATGGAACGGTGTGGAGTGGGATGATCGGTGTCGGGATCAGCCCATGATTTTTGAGGCGCCTCAAAAAGAGCCTGAAGAAGCAAGTGGGAGGGAACAGGGGAAACGGAATGGTGTGGTGTGGGATGATCGGTGTCGGGATCAGCCCATGAGTCACCTCCGTGCCATGGGCCAATAGTGCGTTCAAGTGCATTTACGCATGTGCTGCTGAGTTGTCTATTTTGAGGTGCCTAAAAAATAGACCAAGTCACCTCCGTGCCATGGGCAAATAGTGCGTTAAGTGCGTTAAGTGCTTTCATGCATGTGCTGCTGAGCCGTAGCCCGTGTTTGGCATGGCATGGCATGGCATGGCATGGGATGGGATGGGATGGGATCACGGCAAGCAAGTAGCGCCACCAGCCATCTCTTGAGGCGCCTCAAAAGTGCTGCTGAGCTGTAGGCCTTGTGTGGCATGGCATGGCATGGCATGGCGTGAGATGGTATCAGGGTGAGCAAGTAGCACCACCAGCCATACCTGTCGAATTTGAGCATGAGTCGATCCCTTGTCACTTTGGCAAGGATGGAAGCAGCCGCGATGGCATAGCATGTGGCATCACCCTGCAAGCGCATCACATGGCAAGGAGGGAACAAAACGTTGTGAGACAGAACTTACCATGCCTGCAGCATTTCAGACAAATCAAACGCATGCGAGCTCATCGGGTATCATTCCATACCATACCAAGCCATGCCAAGCCATGCCATACCATACCATGCCATGCCATGCCATACCATGCCATGCGATGCCATGCCATGCCACGCCATGCCATGTACGGTACTGTACCATGCCGTACCACTCCGAATCATTACCTTAACAACCGCCTCAGCAGCACAGGGCAGGCCTGGAGGGACCCTGCTGCCATCCACAAGCACATAGTGAATGGAGGGCTGCTGGGGTCCCATGCCACTCCACACCGTATCAAACCATACAGTACCATACTTCACCCATCGCACACCATACCATACTGTACCACTCCATACCTTAACGGCCTCAGCAGCACACGGCAGTTCCTGAGGCACCCTGTTGCCATCCACAAGCACATAGTCGGGGGAGAGGCTGCTGGGATCCCATGCTACACAGTACCGTGCCGTGCAATGCCACACCACACTGTACCGTTCCATACCTTGACAACGGCATCAGCTGCACAGGGCAACCCTGGAGGCACCCTGCTGCCGTCCACGAGCACATAGTCGGGGAGGGGCTGCTGAGATCCTCAACCACTTTGGCTATGCTGTTGCCCATTGCTAGCATTGTTGCTACCGCACCGCACTGTACCATACCGCACCGCTCCATACCTTGACAACAGCCTCGGCAGCACAGGGCAGCCCCTTAGGAACCCTGTTACCGTCCACTAGCACATAGTCAGGGGATGGACTTTGGGGGTCCTCAACCACTTTAGCAATAGTGTTTGCCATCGCTAGCATCGTTGCCTCGAGGATGTTCACCCTATCGATCTCCGCTGGCCCCACTATGTCCACCTGGAGAACAGCACAGGAAAGTAAAGGAGAGAGGAAGATGCAGTGCAGAGAGCACATGGTCAGGGGAGGGACTGCTGGGGTCAGCACGATCGTGTCTGGTCGTCAACCACGTTAGCTATGCTGTTGCCCATCGCCAGCATCGTTGCCTCGAGGATGTAGACCCTATCGATCTATGCTGGCCCCACTATGTCCACCTGTATAAGACGTACGAGGGATACGGGAAAGAACAGAGGATATATTTGGGAATAATAACGTGTTGGAAAAGTGTTAACATAAAGCAAAATTCAGAGAGAGCAAAAAAAAAGAGGATTGGGAGAGAAATGAAAGAGTGCGAGGATCGAGAAAGAAAACAGGGAAATAGCAGGCGAATAATGAAGGTACAACTGAGAAAGAAATAGAGAGAGAAAAAGAAGAACAGACAATAATAAAACTGCACACAATCACAGAACGATTGGATGCTATTACAGATTTCGTACAGCCTACAGCACCCAAATAGCGCAGCAGTATCATACAGCGTAAAAAATGTCAGGGTTCCCGATAATGGCATCAAAAATCTCCTCCCTCTGCTTTTCTGTGAGCTTCTTGCTGTCCGCCAGACCTGCAACAGTGTGGGCAGGAAGGCAGGAATGGAAGGTCAGATTGTAACATTGAGGGAATTTCCAAAAACGGCATTCAAGTATCTCCTCTCTTTGCTTCTCTGTGAGCTTCTTGCTGTCCGCCAGACAGTGAGTGCAGTAGGGCAGTGAGGCAAGGAAGGCAGCACACACAGCACCCACCCACCTCTGTTCTCCAGCTCAGCATGCACGGCGCAAGCAGCCGCCACCACAGGCCCTGCCAGCGGCCCCACCACCAGCGGGATGCAGGTGACAGTCAGAACATACACACCACACTGCACCGCACAGCACCCACCCACCTGCAATCTCCAGCTCAGCATGCACGGCGCATGCAGCAGCCACCACAGGCCCTGCCAGCGACCCCACCACTAGCGGGATGCAGGTGACAGTCAGAACATACACACCACACCACACCACACCACACCACACTGCACCGCACAGCACCCACCCACCTGGGATCTCCAACCCAGCAGGCACGGCACAAGCAGCAGCCACCACGGGCCCTGCGAGAGGCCCTCGCCCCGCCTCATCCACCCCGTACACGTGCTTGAACCCCCGGGACCACAGGGATTGCTGGGGGATGGAGGGGGGAAAGGGAGGTGGGGGGAAAGAGGGGATAAAAGAATGTACCCTGCTACCGGCCCTCCCTTGTCCCACCTCATCCACCCCGTACACGTGCTTGACCCCCCGGGACCACAGGGATTGCTGGGAGGAGAGCGGGATGGGGAGTGAAAGGGAGGGAGGGGAGAGGGGTTGCCGATGGTCCTGTCAGCGGCCCTCGCCCCGCCTCATCCACCCCATACACGTGCTTGAACTTGCGCGACCACAGGGATTGCTGGGGACGTGAAAGGAGGTAGCACACATATTGCAGCATAGCCAGGGTGCCAGCGGCCCTCGCCCCGCCTCATCCACCCCGTACACGTGCTTCAATCCGCGCGACCACAGGGATTTCTGGGGGGAAAAGGTCGGGCAGAGTGGGGAAAGGGGGCGGGAAGGAGGAAACGAGTTAGAATGGGTCCTGCCAGAGACCCTCCCCCTCCCCCTCCCCCTCCCTCTCCCCCTCCCCCTCCCCCCTCCCCCTCCCCCTCCCCCTCCCCCTCCCCCTCCCCCTCCCCCTCCTCCCTTTCACCTCCCTCTCCCCCTCCCCCAGCCCTTCTCCCCCAACAGTCTCTCCTTTCCTCCAGGGCCCTGTCCGGTGTCTTGGTTGGTAGCACAGAGGCACGCCGCACGCTGTATGTCTGTCTTTCCCCTCTCCTTTCCCTTCCCCCCCTCCCGCCCTTCTTTCCTCCTTACCTCCAGGGCCCTGTCCGGTCCTTGCGCCTTTCCTGGCCCCCCTGCTCTCTTCCCCCCTTGCTCGCCTCCCCTCTCCTTTCCCTTCCCCCCCTCCCCCCCTTCTTTCCTCCTTACCTCCAGGGCCCTGTCCGTTACCTGCGCCTTTCCCGTTCCCCCTGCTCTCTTCCGCTTCAATTCGCCCGCACCAGCAGCAGCAGCAGCAGCAGCAGCAGCCACCCCCCCTCTCCCCACCTTTTCCCCCTCTCCCTTTCCTCGTTACCTCCAGGGCCCTGTCCGGTCCCTGCGCCCTCCCTGCCCCCCCTGCTCTCTTCCGCTTCAATTCACCTGCACCGGCACCGGCAGCACCTGTGCTGGCAAAAGTTTCCCCTTCCTATCCCTACCCCGCCCCCTCTCTTCCCCCTCTCCCTTTCCTCCTTACCTCCAGGGCCCTGTCCGGTACTTGCGTCTTCCCTGCCCCCACTGCTCGCTTCCGCTTCAACTCGCCGGCACCAGCAGCAGCTGCAGCAGCAGCAGCGCCCCTGGCTGTCACTGCTGCTGCCGAAGATCGTTTGGTTGCAGAGGATGGTTTCTTTCTCGACTGCTTACGCGCCTGAAAAGCAGCCGCACCGGCTTCTGCTGATGCTGCAGAGGGTTTGACGGAGGAGGAGAGCTCGTTGGTCGATTGCAAGGCAGCCAATCGCGAGGACCTTCGAGGCGCCATGGAGGAATATGATCGGTACGATGAACTTTGTCTGGTTAGGATGGACGAGTAAATTCCGACAGACGACCCGTAAGTCACGGGGAATGATACCCCTCGGCTCCAAAGAACGGATTGCCGAAGCGGGAGCAAGGCCTTGCACCACGAGGTCATTATAATCGGGTATGTTAGGTGTATTAACGACGCATGTAATGCTATTTCCTGCTACATTACTGTAAACTGTAAGTAACGTTCCGGAGCGTAAGAAGCGCAGGAGAAAGCAAGGTGCAACGGTAGCTCTTCATTCATGCAACGGTAGTCCAGTTTAACTTCTAGTAAAGATACAACCCATGCAAACCAAGGGATGATGCGCCAGAAGAAATGCTGCTGCCACACGACGCTAATCACCGCGCTCGCTGTGCATTCAAAACTTTGGTTGCGAGCGTGGCGACACGAACAGTAACAGCTGTCTCTGAATTCAAATATTCAAATTCTGGAATGTATCCAGCACAAAACACTTCAGAAACGTGGCTAAACCCGTGAGATATCCCAGCCTTGATTTGCACCAAACGGAGGAGATTATTCGCATAGGTTCGCAATCGGTTACCGAATGTAGCCGAAATTCAGCGGAAAATATTTGTGGAAACGCGCCCGCAAAAGATTTTTGCTCATGGGGTGACTCGCTAAGAGAGGCTAGCAAGAAGAGGACCGTTCATTTCCATGTTAACTGCTCAAAAGCGTTCAAACATGGAGTAGAACGCAAGCATTAAAATACACCATAAAAGGTTCCACTTATTTTGTCCCAGCTCCACAACACCTGTACAAACACATTATCACACAAAGGAGAAACAAAACTAGCAATGGTTTAAAACAATTATCTAACAAGCGATTATATGGTCTTTCAAGCACATGCGGTGCACCTCAAAACAAGCACACATACAACTGTTAAAAGAGTAAAGAGGGTGGTTGCTAGAGCCACGGGCTGATGCGAGCCTCGGCTGCTGCTGCTGAACATCTGAGGCGGTTTTGAATTGGTTGAGCAGTTCTTAAAACACTTTTCAAAGGGTTTTACAGGAGTGGTTGTTTGATCGTACCTCTTGTATTGTTTCCCAGAGCCACCGGGGGACGGGCTATTACAAGCCGGGGCAGCTGCTGCTGCACTTTGAGGCGGTTCAGAGTAAGTTGAGCACTTTTTGGAGCACTTTTAGAGGGGTTCAAAGGGGTGGTTGTTTGAACGCACCTCTTATATTTCTTCCCAGACCCACATGGGCATGGGTTGTTGCGAGCTGGAGCTGCTGCTGCCGAGCCTGCACCGCCAGCCAAACCAGCACTAGCACCCGAACGTGCTCCCGTTTTGGGTGGGGACCAAGGCCCGCCCATCATTTGCTCGATCTGCAGAGGAGGTAAAAAGGGGGGACACAAGGTGGGAGGTACGCTGCATGTGCAGCGGCAGATACAGAAACAGCAGCAGCAGAACCAGAGGGTGTAGCTCTAGCTCCTGAACCTGCGCCTGATTTGGGTGGGGACCAAGGGGTGGTTTTTGAGGCGCCTCAAAAACCACCTCATTGGGTGGGGACCAAGGGTCGCCCATCATCTGTTCAACCTGTGGAGGAGGTAAACGGGAGGAGACAAGGTGGGTCTGAACCCGGGTGCGGATTATTCAAGTTTTTTGCTGAAGAGGTTGCACATATTGCAGCTCTTTTTCAGAACCAGTCACTCGTACGTGCTTAGCTAAAAGCACCCACTCTTTGTTGTCGCCTCTGCAACGGATCGAGAAAGCGGTTTCCCTTGGAATTGTAGCGCCTGCATTCTGTTAGCCACATCCTTGAACCACTCGTACTTAGCTAAGAGCATGTCAATCTCAGAATCATTACAACACTTAGCTAAAAGCTTACATTCCTTGTTCCCACCTCTGCAAAGGATCGCGGAAGGAATTTCCCCTGGTCTTGTAGCGCCTGCATTCTGTTTGTCGCCTGCACTCGGTACTCACAAGGTGACTTTTGAGTCGACTCAGAAGTCACCTTGTTAACTGTCTCTGCAAACCACTCGTACTTACACACGAGCATGTCGATCTCAGGTTATTGCAATACTTAGCTAGAAGCTCCCATTATCTGTATATGGCATTGTAGCGACCGCACCCTTTTAGCAGCCTCTGCGAACCATTCGTAATTAGCTAAGAGCATCCTTGCATTCTGACAGTATTTAATAGATCTTCCTTTCTTAGCTAAGCAACTAAATACTGACAGGGTCCTTGCATCCAGATAGATCTTCCTCTCGTATCAATCTCAGTTGTACTATCTTACTGCTTAACTGAATGCAAACGCTTAACTAAAGGAATCATTTTTCTCACCTCTGCAAAGGACCGAGGGAGCGGTTTGCCCTGGTCTTGCAGCGCCTGCATTCTGTTGGCCGCTTCGGCAAACCACTCGTACTTAGCTAAGAGCATGTCAATCTCCCCCATGGTGCTGCCGGTCTCGCTGGCAACGCGCTGCCGCACACTGAAGGGGATGGATAGCTGGGGCGGGACGGGGGGAAGATCGATGCGATACTAGACCGGGGGGATGGGAGAGGAATCATAGAAGCATGAGTTACCAGAAGATCAATGCGATACTAGACCGGGGGGATGGGAGAGGATGAGGGACTGGGGATGGGAGAGGAATCATAGAAGCATGAGTTACCAGAAGATCAATGCGATACTAGACCGGGGGGATGGGAGAGGATGAGGGACTGGGGATGGGAGAGGAATCATAGAAGCATGAGTTACCAGAAGATCAATGCGATACTAGACCGGGGGGATGGGAGAGGATGAGGGACTGGGGATGGGAGAGGAATCATAGAAGCATGAGTTACCAGAAGATCAATGCGATACTAGACCGGGGGGATGGGAGAGGATGAGGGACTGGGGATGGGAGAGGAATCATAGAAGCATGAGTTACCAGAAGATCAATGCGATACTAGACCGGGGGGATGGGAGAGGATGAGGGACTGGGGATGGGAGAGGAATCATAGAAGCATGAGTTACCAGAAGATCAATGCGATACTAGACCGGGGGGATGGGAGAGGATGAGGGACTGGGGATGGGAGAGGAATCATAGAAGCATGAGTTACCAGAAGATCAATGCGATACTAGACCGGGGGGATGGGAGAGGAATCATAGAAGCATGAGTTACCAGAAGATCAATGCGATACTAGACCGGGGGGATGGGAGAGGATGAGGGACTGGGGATGGGAGAGGAATCATAGAAGCATGAGTTACCAGAAGATCAATGCGATACTAGACCGGGGGGATGGGAGAGGATGAGGGACTGGGGATGGGAGAGGAATCATAGAAGCATGAGTTACCAGAAGATCAATGCGATACTAGACCGGGGGGATGGGAGAGGATGAGGGACTGGGGATGGGAGAGGAATCATAGAAGCATGAGTTACCAGAAGATCAATGCGATACTAGACCGGGGGGATGGGAGAGGATGAGGGACTGGGGATGGGAGAGGAATCATAGAAGCATGAGTTACCAGAAGATCAATGCGATACTAGACCGGGGGGATGGGAGAGGATGAGGGACTGGGGATGGGAGAGGAATCATAGAAGCATGAGTTACCAGAAGATCAATGCGATACTAGACCGGGGGGATGGGAGAGGATGAGGGACTGGGGATGGGAGAGGAATCATAGAAGCATGAGTTACCAGAAGATCAATGCGATACTAGACCGGGGGGATGGGAGAGGATGAGGGACTGGGGATGGGAGAGGAATCATAGAAGCATGAGTTACCAGAAGATCAATGCGATACTAGACCGGGGGGATGGGAGAGGATGAGGGACTGGGGATGGGAGAGGAATCATAGAAGCATGAGTTACCAGAAGGCATGGGTGGTGAGGAAAACGGGACACGAGACGACTTTTGAGGCGCCTCAAAAGGTTACCATACGGCACGGGTGATGAGAGGAAAACTGCCCCGTTCCTTCCTTACCAGCTCGTCTGTCGAATTCGTTTCAGCAGCGTAAGCAGTAAGAGCCACCACTCACCCACTCGTGTGTAGCCTTGGCGTCAGCAGCATAAGCACCTAACACCAGAGAGATAATCTCCTGCTTACTCCCTCCTGGTTACCGCCGTAAACGGTCGCACTCTCCTGTTATACTACCTAACGGTCGCACTCTCCTGTTATACTACCTAACGGTCGCACTCTCCTGTTATACTACCTAACGGTCGCACTCTCCTGTTATACTACCTAACGGTCGCACTCTCCTGTTATACTACCTCGGTTACCGCGTTCCTTTGTTACGAAACAAGGTCATTACTCACCCACTCGTTTGGAGAATTCTCTAAAGTCACGCTCACTGTTACACTATCCCACCTACCGCATTCCTTCCATACGAAACAACGCCACTACTCACCCGCTCATTGGACAGTTTGGCTTCAGCAGCATAGCCAGCAAGCGCCAGAGTGATGACTTCCTGCTTCCTCAGAGAATTTGTCACCACGCTCTGCCCGCCCTTAGGGAGAATCCTTACTGAGTGTCATAGCCTCATTACTACCATGTATGGTTACCCTCTGTCTTTCAATCCTCACCCGCTCGTCGGCCAGCTTGGCTTCAGCAGTATAGCCAGCAAGCGCCAGAGTGATGACTTCCTGCTTCCTCAGAGAATCTGTCACCACGCTAAGTGGTTACACTCCCCTCTTACACTATCCCAGGCCAGGTAATTCATTTCTTACTCACCCGCTCGTCGGCCAGTTTGGCTTCAGCAGCATAGGAGGCAAGGGCCAGAGTGATGACTTCCTGCTTCCTCAGAGAATTTGTCACCACGCTCTGCCCGCCCTTGGGCAGACTTTTCCCGAAAGTTGTCAGCTGCCCGAACTGCCGCGCCCGCTTCAGCTGGTTGGCGAATTCTGGGAGGGAGGGAAGTGGGAGGGAGGGATGGGGAGAATTTGAGTTACGTCATTTCCAATGGCGTAATTTAAGCTTCTGCTTTGGCCATTCCGTTTTTTTCCCTCTTGCCCCATTCTCCCTTTGCCTATCCCCCCATTCCCATTTTCCCATTCTCCAAGTTCAGTGCTGCAACCCCCTGCTCTCCATTTCCCCATTTCCCCATTTCCCCATTTCCCCATTTCCCCATTTCCCCATTTCCCAAACCCCCAATCCCCAAACCACCATAAAATAACCATGATGGTTGTTTGGCAAGCACACTTCACCACCTCCCAATCCCCCCGTTTCCCCAACCACGTGTGTAATTTGCAGGCTTACCCTCCTTTTCCATTCTCCCATCCCCCAATTCCCCCATCCCCACCCCCCCAACCCCCACTCTCACTCCCCCTCCCTCCCCTCCCCCTTCCCACCAGTAAGACCCTCCGCGTGTGTCAAGCGCTTCGGTTCCCCTGCCTTCCCCGCGCCGCCCTTCCCCAGCCCCAGAAAGGTCTGGAACCGCGATAACCATCCGCCGCCGCTCTCCCCCTTGCTCTCCGCATCCGCCGCTGCGCCCCCTCCCCTTCCCCCCGCGCCCTGCCCCCCTCTCTCTTCCCCTCCCCCGCCGAACAGCAGATTCCAGCCCCTGCGCTCGCTCCCAGCCTGATCCGAGCCTGGACCCGAGGCTCGGTCGGCGCTCGCTGCCGAGGCTAGTGGCGAGCCTGCGGGTGCGCTCGCTGCCGAGCCAGGCTGCCCTGCCGGAGCTGCGGTTCGGCCCGTGCCTGACACGTAGCTCCGCGCCGCGAAAGGAACGGCCGGAATTACGCTCCTCCTTTCACTCGTTGCAAGAGGAACGACCGCATCAGCCGCCGCGAAATGCGCCGTGATCGGCGCGAAAGGCGCGGCCTCTCGAAACGAATCAAGACGCGCGTCTCCAATCGCGCGACTCGAGAGGATTTGCGGGATTGGCGCGGGTGCTACTACTGAGGTCAAGGCATCCTGCGACTTGCGCGTAAGATCGGACTTGCGTCGCAATACCTTAGCGGCCGACGCGGAAACGACGCGCAAGGTAGCATGGTGCATGGCGAAATTCCCAGTAAAACGATTAGATGCAAGGGAAACTGCTACTGGTGGGGATCGTCCCGAAAATATCAAGAATTTCAGGAAACTTCAGAGAGCAGCTTACTCTCGCTATAGCAAGCTCCAGTAATTGGACTCCTGTAATTGTTTTCACTTTGTACTGATCCACACGCTAATTGGACTAAACTAATTTTAGCGGAAGATAACTTCATGCAAAAAAAGGAAAAATAATGGCAACCATCAACTATTTCTTCAGCATTTCTTCATTGAGCAGCAAGGCGCGGAGAAATAGCTCTCCTCTCACCATCTCCCTGACAGCCGTTGGATCGTCAGCGATGAACCATGTGGAATCAACGGCTGAGATCTGCACACAATGACAAACGACCATAAGTGACCTCCGTGCCAACGTTTTTGAGAATGATGGATAGATAGAACACTGCGCAGAAAAAGGCCTTCCTTGTGCCCTTGCTTACCTTTCCATGTGTGTTCATTTCGAATCTGGTCTTGCCAACCAGAAAAATCGCATCGTCCTCCTCCTTATCCCCTCCCTCCTTGTCTCCCTCTCCTTCCTTCTTTACTTCACTACCTTGCCTACCTCTCCCTTTTCCCCCACCACTGCTACTGCTACCTCCATTTATCCGACTTTGCTCCTCCTCCTCTTCCTCCTCATCCCCTCGCCTCCATTCATCCTTTCCCTTCTCAGCACCAAGTTTCCCATTTCTTCCCACACCACCCCTTTCATCCTGCCCCTCCTCTTCAGGAAGGTTCCTCCTGATCTCCGCCTCGTGCTCAGGAAGATTCCTCTTCCACCAGTCGGACAGCCCCATGCCTGCCACTGCTTGCCGCCCGCTCTTAGCTAAGAGGATTGTCCAGAGGGCAGTGATCCAGCGACGGTCTGAAGGACAGTGTAGAAAGGGGGGATCAGGTTACAAAACATACCTGCCTTCCACTCACCACTTCCCACCCACTCTTAAATAAAATTATGGTCCAGAGGGTGGTGATCCAGCAGCAGTTCAGAGGCAAGAAAGGGAGTAGAGATAAGGTGAGGCCTCTGAACACCATGGATGAAAGGGAGTAGAGATAAGGTGAGGCTCTGAACACCATGGATGAAAGGGAGAAGAGATAAGGTGAGGCCTCTGAACACCATGGATGAAAGGGAGTAGAGATAAGGTGAGGCCTCTGAACACCATGGATGAAAGGGAGTAGAGATAAGGTGAGGCTCTGAACACCATGGATGAAAGGGAGAAGAGATAAGGTGAGGCCTCTGAACACCATGGATGAAAGGGAGTAGAGATAAGGTGAGGCCTCTGAACACCATGGATGAAAGGGAGTAGAGATAAGGTGAGGCCTCTGAACACCATGGATGAAAGGGAGTAGAGATAAGGTGAGGCCAAGGATGCGGATTGAACGAGGGAGGAAACACAATGGATGAAGGAATGGGCACCTGGATAAGGAATGGGCACCATGGATAAGGAATGGGCACCATGGATAAGGAATGGCCACCATGGATAAGGAATGGGCACCATGGATAAGGTGTACCATTTGCAGGGGCCTAGACAGGGTGCGAAGGCAGCTTTCGAGTCGACTCAGAAGGCATGATGTGGGTTACAACCAATTTTGCATGCAAAAAACATTCTCTCCACGCATAATCCGCGTGCAATGAGTCGACTCTAGAGTTGGTGCAGACACAGGTGCCCCCCACTGACCCCACCAGCTGCGGGTTTTGAGACGCCTCAGAACGTGGCATCCCAGCAGTGTATGTTTTCCCAGAAACATCTCAGAACGTGGCATCTCAGAAAACATACGTGGCATCCCAGCATTGTACTGACAACAGCAATGGCTCACCCGGCGCCTTCACGAGAGTTTCGGAGTAGAGATGGTGCAGATGCAGATGCCCCCCTGCTGACCCCATCAGGTGCAGCCACTGTTGCCATCTGAAAGGGACAAAAACAAGGAGGACACGCTAAAACATCGTCTGACCCAACCAGGTGTAGGCATTGGTACCACCTGCGAAAAAAAAAAACTATGAACACATGGATAGACAGCTGAAGGCGCCTGAAAAAACGAGACAATCATGATCAGACACATCATCCCATCGCAACGGCCCCACCAATCCCATCTCATCGGCCCGCCTTGCCCCGCCATCTCTCACCTATCTTGCCTTGGCCCATCTCACCAAACGCACACCACAGGGTTCTGCACTCGAACCCCCTCCTCCACCAATCCCTACGAAAATATATCCACCCGCTCTTCCCGTTGTGCTTGGGACTCTTGAGCCGTCTCAACAGGATTCTGCTCTGTCTTAACAGAAGTCTTTCACCTCTCCCTTCTCACTCACCTGCCCTTCCCTTGAACACACACCGCAGGGTTCTGCACTCGAACCCCCTCCTCCACCAACCCCAAAGCAAATATATCCACCCGCTCTTCCCGTTGTGCTTGGGACTGTTGCCTCTGATGCTGCTGTTGCTGCTGCTGCTCTTGTTGTTGCTGCTGCTGTTGCTGCTGCTGCTCTTGTTGTTGCTGCTGCCGTCGCTGCTGCTGCTCTTGTTGTTGCTGCTGCCGTCGCTGCTGCTGCTGTTCCTCCTCACAGCCTCGCCTATTCTTCTCTTCCTCTTCCTCCTGTCCCTTCCCTTGCTTCTCCCAGTCCCCCTGGCCATCCCCTCCTCCCCCCACTTGCTGCTGCCCCTGCTGTTCCTGCCCCTGCCACTGCCGCTGATGACGACGCTGCTGTTTGTCCTTGTGAATCTTCTCATTCTCCTCTTCCTCTTCCTCCTGTCCCTTCCCTTGCTTCTCCCAGCCCCCCTGGCCAACCCCTCCTTCCCCCTCCTTCTTGAAAGCTTCCAGATTCAACGGAGGTGCGGCGAGTGTGGGGGAGAGCGCGTGGGGGAGGAAGAGGCGGAGGGCTGTCAGCAGGTCTTGAAGCTTGTCGATCATTGCAGAGGCTGAGGGTAGGGGGGGGAAGGGGGGGGGGAGTTAAGGGAGAAGGGGGTTCGGGATTAGAGGGGTTAGAGGGGAGAGTGGGTGGGGGAGGAAGAGGCGGAGGGCTGTCAGCAGGTCCTGAAGCTTGTTGATCATTGGAGAGGCTGAAAGCAGGGTGGAAACGATGATAGACGCGAATGTGAGGAGGCTAGGTGTGTGGGAGTTGGGAGAGTCTTTGTCGCTAGAATGTGGTATGTGAGCCATAGCAGCACATTCTAGAGACAAAGACTACACAAGAACACATAGCAAACGCACTCGTACAGTTACTGTGAATTTCTGCCGCGAGGCACCCACCCACCCACCCACCCACCCACCCGCCCACCCGCCCACCTGTCCACCCACCTTCACCGCCGATCTCGTAAGGCGTGTCTGGCGCCTCCCTCTCAATCACATCCCCCATGTAGGGGGACCAGCAGCTTGAAAACACACATAAGTATGGATAGGCAACTGCACAGACCAAGGAACACATTCAAAGAACCCACCCACCTTCACTGTCAATCTCTGGAGGAGGGGCGTAGTCATACGGCGTGTCTAGCTCCTCCCTCTCGATCACATCCCCCATGTAGGCAGGCAGACAGGGAGGAAACACACACAAGTATGGATAGGCAACTGCACAGACCAAGGAACACACTCAAAGAACCCACCCACCTTCACTGTCAATCTCTGGAGGAGGGGCGTAGTCATACGGCGTGTCTAGCTCCTCCCTCTCGATCACATCCCCCATGTAGGGAAACACACCGGCAGTGCGGGCTAGATCTGCAGTGACAAGAGAAGATGTAAGATGAGAGCGGATGGGGAGATAAGAGATTGTGACCCAAGCGGCAGGAGTAGGGCGTGTCTAGCTCCTCCCTCTCGATCACATCCCCCATGTAAGGGAACACGCCGGCAGTGCGGGCTAGATCTGCAGTGACAAGAGAAGATGGGAAGATGGGAAAACAGGAGATGCGACTTGATATTCCTCAAGTGCGACACCCCCTTACAGCCTCATGAATCCTCCCTTACATCATACCAGGGTATGTTTTATGAGAATTCTAAAAAAAACAGCCGCATTACACCTCCCTTACATCATACCAGGACTCCTTAATTGTGGTCCGTGCCTCCATCGCAACCCGGAGAATGACCTTTGACTCTGCAAATAGCATAGCCCAACCCACTTAAGTCCTCTGCTCCAAGTCTCTTTGAATTGCATCTACTCGCCTTACCTGCAAACCGTCCTTAAGACCTCTGCTCCCATCGCAAACCTAAAAAGTAGCTCGAATTGACTCTTCTAGTCCCTTCGAGCTACTTCTAGAATCTGAACACAGTTTCAACCTCCGCTCGTTACAAAACCCTTGCTTTCGTTTCTGGAGACCTCCTCTAATCGCCCTTGTGCCTTAGGACGTCCCAAAACCCTTGTGCCTTAGGACGTCCCAAAACCCTTGTGCCTTAGGACGTCCCAAAACCCTTGTGCCTTAGGACGTCCCAAAACTACTCATCTTACCAGGAAACCGTACCTGAGCCTTTAGACATCTCAAGCTACCCCACCGCTTTACACCCATGCATCTTCTCACCTGGAAACCGCTCCTAAACGTCCTGCTTCCATCACAACCCCACAGCCCCCCCTTTCTACAAGTACTCTCTCTTACCCCGAAGCCATCTTACCCGGAAACCGTTTCTGAGCCTCCTGCTGCCATTGCAAGCCCCCCACAGGGCCACTCAGCGAATGCTTTTTGAGTCAAATCCCGACTCAATTGTTTCAGCACCTCTCTACACCCATTCATCTTACCCTGGAACCGTTCCTGAGCCTCCTGCTTCCATCGCAACCGTCCTGACAGGGCCACTCAGCAGGTGCACCATCCCAGCGAATGTTTTTTTAGTCAAATCACGGCTCACCTGTTTCAGCACCTCTCTACACCCATTCATCTTACCCGGGAACCGTTCCTGAGCCTCCTGCTTCCATCGCAATCCCCCCACAGGGGCACTCAGCGGGTGCACCTTCCCAGAAGCTTCCATCTCCTCCCACAGGCGGGCCACTGCCTCAAACTCGGCCTCTGCTGCCTCCTCCTCCTGCTCGCCCTCCTCCCACTCCCACCCCGGGATGTTCTTGTACTCGTTATGATTGTACTCGTTATAGTCGTGTAGAGCGGACTCGGCTGATTCATTCCTGCGGCTTTTGTCATGCTCACTGTTGTTACCATTGGTCCGGCTGCTGCTCCTTTGATAGCCACTGTCACTCCTTCTGGCAAACTCAAATTTACTATCAGTATATTTGCTATCCCTTTTTACGTTGCCGCCTAATTCTGACGTGTCCTTCCCACCCTCACTCCAGCGAACCTGTTCCGAGGCTCCGCCACCCATTTGTTCCAAAAACGAAGCAAGATCCGGCCAAGCCTGATCCGAACCTCTTTCAGCTGGCTCTTGACTGGATCCGAGCCTGTCTTGGTTCGGTAGGTTCGGAGACTCATTAGACTCAGTGATTCTCCCGGGCCTCCTGTCGAGGTTCGGGAAGACGGAGGCTCGGATCTCCTCTTGGCTCGGCATGGATGAATAGTTGATAAAACGAATCTTCGTGGGATCTGTCCCCTCCCATCGAGAGGGCCTGATAGTTTCTGACGTGGCAGAAGATGATGAGGTGGAGGATGATGACGTGGCAGGTGGAGACGTGGCAGATGGTGACATGGCAGATGCTGATGTGGCAGAACTTCCTTGAAAACGAGAATGAGAAGTAAGCTCTCTGACGTCTTTCCCATCCTCAGGAACATGGCTTGTCGTTTCCATTGCCGTCAACTGTATAATTCCCTCACGTTTCCCCTTCCCTTTCGCCTTCCCTTTCGCCTTCCCTTTCTCATTACCCCCCTTCTTACTCTCCTCCGTACTTTTCTCTTTCCTCTCCTCTTTCCTCACCTCCTTCTTCGCCTGCTTCCTCTCTGCGTTCCTATCATTCACCTCTCCCCTTTTCTTCGACGGTTTAAGTCCCTCCCTTTCCCGCACAGCACCCAACCCTCGGCCCCTCTTCTCCTCCCCATCACCACCTCTCCCTCCCTCTCCTCCCTTCCTTTCGTTCGCATTCTTCTTGCTCTTATCTCCCTTCTTTCCCTTGGCCCTCTTCCTCTCCACATTCGCGGAAACTTCCAAGCTGGTCGGTTTCCCCGCTCCTTCCCCAGCCGCTACAGCTGTCAACTTAGTTAATCTCTTCCAGGAACCCGTAGTTAATCTATTTCGTAGGAGTGTAGGAGGCTCCACGACAGCCGCAGTGGATGTGGATCTATCCCATGAACACGTGTATACGTGGCAAGAGGTACAGTGTCGTGCTGTTTGGAAGATCGGAATACGCGCGGCGGAAAAATACGTGAGCGTGGAAGTTTCCATTACTCGCAACAGCGAAGAATCTTAGAAAATGACAGTAGGAAAAGGGCAAAAGATCAAAGTAAAAAAGGCAAAGCGCACGAGGCAAGAATAAGCAGTATCGAGGTGCTGTGCTGCTGCAAGTTAGGCCGGCGATGACCGGCAAGCAGTAAGCGCGAGCAGCGGGGAGGCCACTAAAAGAGCATTCTAGCTTGCTATGTGATTGAAGAAGTGTTTTGAGACGTCTCAAAACAAGCAGTAAGCGCGAGCAGCGGGGAGGCCACTAAACTGCTTGCTCGAGCAGCAGTAAAAGAGCATTCTAGCTTGCTCGAGTGAGGTGACTCGAGTGTTCCAAGGAGGTTTCAGGTTTAGGAGATTCTGACATTCTGAACTACAGGCGATTCTTGAGAATTCCGCGATGTGGCTTGGCTTGTGTAAGGAAAATCCCTTTTTCCTTACTTCGCATCCCCGCTCAACGCGTACATCACTGTAGCACCTCAGTCAGCACCGTTACCACTCGCGATCATCGCATCGACAATCATCCCGCCATTTTCGCACATCGCATCCCGACCTCACGGCTCGGCGGGTAACCCCCGCTCCGGGCCTACGCTTCGGCATTTTCCCAACCTCAGTCCCAGGCTCGTCGCGCGACAACCACAGTCCATTACCGTTACCACTGTAGTTTCGCTATATATTCTTCGCTCATGCCTTCGCTCATTGTATTCTTACTTCGATAGTGCAATTCTCGTTCGCTCACTCAATTGCACTCGTAACACTTGGTATTCAGAGCCTACGATCTCATCTCGGACCGCATCCACACCTTCGCTTCCCTACTATCTCAATTTTTTGGGGGGGGTAGACGTCTCTCAGCGACACAGCACCGCCGCTCGTAGTGCTCTCTCGTAAGCACGCACGGCCACGACCGAGGCTCTCGCTGAGCTTGCCCGACACCCCCGCCATGGCCGATTTCACGCCCGCCACATTGACGCAGGAGCAACTTGATCGTCTCGTGCGTCAGCTGGAAGAATCGGCGCTCGAAATCGCGACGCTCACGGCGGAACGTGACTCCGCCCGTCAACAGTCGACGGTGAACATTCCGGCGACATCACACGCACCAACAAATGCATCTGCACAATCGGACGAGCCGATCATCATCTCGTCCGGCACACCAACACAACACGACAGCATGGGACAACGCTCAGGCGCAGCCAGTGACGGCGTCGCCCAGCCGATGCCCGGCATGGGAGGAGGCAGGATCGCACCAAGCCCGCGGGAGCCCCGAGAAGCCCGCCGGCACGTGGAATTTGCGGCGACAAGTGGCGAACAGGCCATCATGGCACCAATGCCGCTCAAGCCACAACGCCCGCCCTGCTTCGACCCAAGCCAACGCGGGGGTCCGACGGTTCAATCGTGGGTCTTCACGATGAATGTTTTCTTCGACGCAAACTACGTCGAGTCGGACGCCGCGAAGATTCGGTATGCAGTTTCGCTGCTAAGGGGCCCCGCCATGGACTGGTGGCGAGTCATCGTGACGTCGCCACGCGCCTACAAGCCACCGTCGCACGAGGAAGGGCCCACGGGTCCAGCTGTCACCTGGAGTTCGTTCTGCGAGACCGCCCAATACAGCACGTGGGATGTGTGGTGCGCAGGGCTTCGGGCGCGCTTCGAGCCGATCGCGGCTTCGATTTCGGCGCGTCAGAAACTGCGCACTTGGCGCCAGCTCGGGTCGGTTCAAGACTATACAAGCGGCTTTCTCGCACTTTGCGAGCAGGTCGGCTACATGCACGAAGCGGAGCGGGTGGACCGTGTCAAACATTATATATATATGTTGTAGTTGTTTAGGCTACAGTGGGTTAGCCTATAGGGGGTACACAATTCTAGGGTTTCCTACTTGTACTCATTTCACTGTTAGTTCATTCATTCTTGTTCAACATGGTATAGAGCAGGTCCTTCCTAGGACCGTTTTTTCTAAGGGCCCACCACTACCTACCTGCCTACCTGCCTACCTACCCTAGGGCGCCTCGGCGTTCACGCCCCTAGAGGCCCTGTAGGCCCCGCGCTTTTGCACCTAGAGGCCCCGAATCGGCCCCGCGCCTAACCCTACAGGCCCGCGCCGGCCCCGAGCTCGTCCCTTCTAGGCCCGCGTCGGCCCCGCGCTTACCCCTAGAGGCCCGCGTCGGCCCCGCGCCTACCCTAGAGGCCCGCGTCGGCCCCGAGCCTACCCCTAGAGGCCCACGACGGCCCGGCGCTTACCCCTTGAGGCCCGCGACGGCCCGGTGCTTACCCCTAGAGGCCCGCGACGGCCCCGTCCCTACCCCTAGAGGCCCGCGACGGCCCCGCGCCTCCCCCTAGAGGCCCGCGTCGGCCCCGTCCCTACCCCTAGAGACCCGCGTTGGCCCCTGTCCCTACCCCTATCAGCCCGCGTCGGCCCCGCACTTACCCCCACCCGCTCCCCGCGCTCGCCCTTAGCGGCCTCGAACGGCCCCACCCAGAACGAGCCGCCCGCACCAAACAGCCCGGCCCTAACGGAACCGAGCCGCCCGACCCGAGCCGCCAGCCCTAACCGACCCGAGCCGCCCGAACCGAGCCGCCCGAACCGAGCCGCGCCGCCCGACCCGAGCCGCCCGAACCGAGCCGCGCCGCCCTCCCTATACCGAGCCGCGCCGCCCTACCTGTACCGAGCCGCGCCGCCCTACCTACCCTACTGCTCCTACTGCTTTTCCTACTGCTGCTACCATGGCCAGCCCTCCTGTGCTAGCCTTCGATGCTGAGGGCCGCCCAGTGAAGTTCGACACCTGGCTTGATGACCTACACCTCTTCCTACAGCTCACTGCAAAGGAAGACATCTCGCTGTACGATCACACCTTAGGCCACGCTACTGCTCCTGCTGCTACTGCTGACAGCACTGCTCGCTCATAGTGGCAGACTCGTGACGCCCATGCTCGCTTCGCTATTCGCAACTCTCTGCCGATAGATGAGCGCGAGCACTTTGGGCAGCACAAGACTGCACAGGCACTGTACACTGCTGTCTTTGCCTGCTACTCCTCACCGGCCTCTGCCGCTCTAGGCCGTCTCTCTCTTCCCTACCTATCCCCCGACTTAGCTTCCTTTCACACTGTCGCTGACCTCATGACCCACCTCCGCACTAGTGAGGCTCGCTTCCGCGCCGCTATGCCTGATGAGTTCCTTGCCACGAACCCACCCCCGCTCTGGCTCACTCTCTACCACCTAGTCACGCGCCTCCCTGACTCGCTGCGCTCAGTCAGGGACCACTTCCTCGCTCGCTGCCCCACCGAGCTCACCATTGCCCTCCTCGAGAAGGAACTCCTTGCAGCGGAGACTAGCATAGTCGCTGTAGGTGCCTCTCGCAGTGACCCCCGTACCCCGTTCTTTGAGGGGTGTTCTCCCTCCCCCCTTCTTCCCTCGGTCGGCTCTGCTGCTGCTGTCGACCTCCTTGGTGCTGAGAAGGTCGGGACTGCGTCTGCTTCGAGCGGGCGCCGCAGCGGCAAGGGCAAGGGGGGCAAGGGCGGTAGTGGTGACAGCGGGGGTGGCGGTGGTGGGGGAGGTGGTGGCGAGGGGGGTGGCGCGGGTGGGGGAGGTGGCAGCAGTGGTGGGGGTGGCGGCAGCGGCGGGGGAGGTGGCCGGGGCGGAGGAGGTAGTGGGGGTGGCGGTGGACGAGGCGGCGGCCGGGGTTGGGGTGGTCGAGGAGGTGGTAGCGGCGGTGGTGGTCGTGGAGGCACTGGCGGTGGCCAGGGCTAGCAGCACACTCCCTCGCCCCAGGAGGTCCGTGAGTGGTACTCTCAGCACGGGGGGGGGGGGTGGCCTTAGCTGCACGTACGTCATTCGCACTGGTGACCGCACTGGCCAGCCGTGTGGGGGACCGCACGCCACACAGCGTTGTTTCGCTCGTCTGAGCGACGCTTGGCGTGTTCAGTTCCCTTAGGCCACTGAGCTGCCCCGCTGGCTTGATCTCCTGAAGAAGGGGATTGATATCTATGCTCTAGACTTTGATG